TGCCTGAATCGCCGTGTTGATGCTCACTCTGAAATTTGGACCAAGTAGCTGTTGTTTTAAACAACTACCACGTTATCCACTGAGCTACTGAATGTCAGTGTGAATAAAAACACAAAGATGTGTTAGGTTCATCAAAATGACAAGTTCTAAATAGGACAAAACGAATGTCCTGGCTTTTACTACTATCTACTTATCAAATCTATTAAAAACTTGTGACATAACGATATGTCAAGGCGATCCGTTGAAGCTATACATATAGTAATAGAGATTGACCAGTTATAGTTCTGAATATCAACAACGAGATAATTCAAGGCCTTATTGAGAAAAGATTTATTTTAACATTGAGCATGTGAACTTGTATCTGACTTTATCAAGAGACATTCATAGCTGTTAAATAACTTTTCTAGAAGCCGTAAACTAACCTCTGAAAGAAATCTAGAAAGAGTTATTTTGATCTTCTTCAATCTGACGACTTATAAGTATCAAGTACTTATTGTTAAATTTAGTATCTGTCCTAAAAGTTTCTACAGATCCAGCATCAATGTTCTTTTAGTATATGAACCAAGTTGAAAAATTCGTTTATGCTCTCACTTTCTAATTTCATTCAATGGATTTCTAATGAAATTCATCAGTCAGTGAGCTACAACGTAGAACCAGGCACATATATCCATCGGTCCAAGTTGCCATACCTCATTAACACAACAAGATGGACACCGGATTCATAATTAAACTAGAAAAGTCAATATATCCAATGTTTAATGTATCGAGTTGAAGAGGTCAGATCATTCTTTAAAGAAAAAAAGGAAATCTTAGATTGAAGTTTTATATTGGTTAATACTTGTCAGTAAGAAGAGATAGTATCTGTAAACTAGATTAATGGACTAAAGTGTGAATGTGAATTAAAAAGCTTCTTGACAAGTAGCTGTAATAATAATAATAACAGTAATATTCATAGTAGTATGGGAACCAGGTCATTATTTATGATGTTACTTACTATTGTTTTCATTATGGTAATTGTTAGATTTAATTGTAACAATAATAATAATAGTCGTATAGCCAGTTATTCATTTCCTAGCAACACCAAGTACCTTTCATATACCTTAACTTTTCTATTGAGGATGGTTTTCTCACGTACTGACCGTAATCATATAATAATAATAATAATAATAATAATAATAATAATAATAATAATAATGGTTTGTACCCGATGATTGATTTACACATACATTTACGCATATTATTCATTGAACATACCCATTTGTTTTTCTTTATATTTTCTGCATAAAGATTAATTATTACTCTGTTATTAATGTGGTATAAAATGTAAACAGATTTTAAGTAAACAAAATGTCAAATATCCATAAAATTGACATCAATATTAGTTCTAATAATTAGTCAACAACATAGAAGAATTAATGACAGTGATGAAGGGATGATTGAAAATTCCGCTTTGAAAAAAATTTTCAAACCAAACAAAAAAACACAGCACAATTTATTCTGTCTAATAGTTGAATTCATGAGTCAATTAAAGCTAGACCATCATGAAAAACCTGAAAGTACTGGACGGCTTTTACGTTCTAGTACAGGACTCTTCAGCAGTGTGCATTCAAGATCCCGCCTAATGAGATTCGAACCCAGGACCTATCGTTCTTGCACGAGAACGTTTCACGGAAAAGTTAACGATAAAGTATTTCAAACTGATTAAGTTGACAAGAAATTTAGGATTAAAAAAAGGGTGATTATGATTCGAGCTGGAAACAGAAATGTTTTAGTCTGAATTTTTCAGAACCGAATTCAACAAAAGTAAAAGCCTGTGTTCATAAGAAATACGTAAAGTCATTTCGTTACGTGGATAGAGTTTCAAATAATCTATTATCTCACCTTTACCTTTTTCCCTAAATTGCACTTAGGTGATTATTGATATGTCCCTATAGTTTACACTATGGACTGAACATAGAAAACCGTTAAATATCAGGGTTCGTTGGACAGTAGTTTGAGGATTCTTTGGAGGTCTGTATTTATAACCCCATACAAGACTGACCTCCATACTCTTTGGTTTTGCAGCGAGCAGTCAACCTTCAAACCATTCGGTTGGTACCAAGTGGTTGGTTGAAGTTAGTTGTGTACATTTCTAGATGGTCTTAAAATTAAGCGCCGACTGTGAAACCCAAGGGTTCGGATATAGTTCCTGATGGGGTTGTTGATGAACATTCTTAATGAGCACCATACTAAAACGATGCAACTGTCCGGTGATTCATGGTTTCCAACAATTGTATAATCAAGTTTACTTCATGATACGAATAATGAAATCAATTATCGATTAATATCACTGTTATCATTCTAATTAATTTCATCCTATAATGATTTCGTTAGGCACTTAATATTATTTTTACAGCTTCATTATAATTCATAGCGTCGTTATTTATCGCAATAACAAATGATTGAAGTTGAATCCGGTTACGAACTGATCTTAGCTAGACCACCATTAAAAACCTGGAAGGATTGAACGGCCGTTTCGTCTTAATATGGGACTGTTTAACAGTAGGCGCCTACGACATCGCATAGTTTAAGACATAAATTAATATATAGGGTCATAACAAAAGTTGTAAAAAAATATTTCTCCTCTCTACTGACCCCCTTTATTAAAGATTGTACATTAGATAATCAATAAACTGAACTATTAGACGGTGACAATTCCGCCTAGTACTGAACATTTTCTGACTTCCCACTTGTTTTTCAACTATACTACTTATTAACATGCACTAGCTGATCACTAACAACAATTTTGAGACTCATAATGTTTGGTGGTTCCCTGGTGAAATGTTCCGTTAACACTAAATAATGCGATTTTTATCCAATGTCTCAAACTATTTTCACTTTTATGCACGTTAGTTATTTAAAATTTGTTCATTCTGAACAGCTTGCTTATTTTAAAGGGGTGGTGCTTAATTTAGTACGTTAATTGTTGGTGTCTATTTGATACAGCCATATTGTTCCCTATTTTATGGCGTGTTGTAATCCAATTCCTACTCATGTATTTGAAAGATTCACTTCCCTGTTGACTGTGGCTTTAATGTAGTTACCGATGTCTGGACACCTCACGACTTTATGTTTGTTAACTTTATTATTCATGTCTTTGTCTCTCATAGTATCGTATCCCAGATTAATAGCGTCTTTTGATTTTGAAAATTCAGATGTACCTCAGTCGTAAGCTTAAAATTCCCTAAAAGATTCTTTGGATGGAATTATTTTCCTAAGATAACTTATGAATTAGTGATTTTCGTTCAAACTATATCAAAGCATAAAATCCGAGATAGAGACATGTTGATCAATTGAATTGATTTCTTTCCTTACAAATAATAAATATGAGTGAGTTTTCGAGAAGTTTAAAGAAACTGTGGTTTTTAAGCAAAATTTATTCTTTATCTATTAAACCGAATGAACAGTTTGAAATGAAATCTAAGTATTGAATACGAGGGTAAACTGTTTTGGTTGAACTTCGGCATCAGGCATTTTTAGTTGTACAAAATCAGTTTTGTTATAAATCATTTTTTGAGTCAGCCAGCTACAACGTAGGACCAGGCACATATGTGCATCGGTCCAGGTTGCCATACCGCATCAGCACAACAAGATGAACACCGGATTCATAGCAGTGGTTAGGTCAAAGGTGGTAATAAATAAGAGGAAGATTGCATATAGAGATATAGTACAAGAACTAATGTTGTAATACCTTTAGAGAATTAAGCTAGTTTATTGTACAAGACCTAGGCCCAGAGTTTATTATCGACTACCTCCAGCCATCGAATATAAGAAAATAGTGCACGTTATGTCCCGAGTCACTTAGAATAGTATCGTCATCGTAACTTGATCGATGGAGTTTCATCAGCAGTAAACAACTATAGGAACGTAACATCGGTCAGTACTCGTGGTCATATCGATTGTAAATATTCCTTAGAGAACAACTAAATCCAGCGTGTACTAGATGACAATGATCGACGCAATCAACTAAGTAAGTGGTAAAATGGTAGGTAACTGATATACTCCATTATCTGAAGCTAATGACTTGTGAGCTGGAAAATATAGACTATTGCATTTTAGCTTGAGAAATATTTAAAGGTATCATTTCCATTCTGAGACATAACCCCCCCCCTCAGACTTGATCTCATATTCAGGCTACTGTGCCAAAATTATAAACAAACTTACAAACGCATAAATATATCTGCACCTCTGAAATCAACAAATTGAACAAATTATCATAAGTTAGTTTTAACAGTAGAAGCAGAAAAAAGCACACCAGAATTAAGGGTGAAAAAATAGTCAGGATAAACTTTGTTTGCTACAGCGTAGAACAATGGTAAAAGAGTTGAGTGACGCGTAAGGTATGGATAAAAAAAGAATGAAAGGATTATGAAAGAATGATAACGAATAGCAAATATATCACAATTGTACAATAAAAAGAAAAACAAATTCATGCATGAAAGCACATTTATATCATTACATGTTAAAATGATAGAAATATTGGATAATCTTTACAAATATAAAAACATACATACACAAGACGCAATACTACAAGATACAGAGGTCAAATGACCAACCGTTTTTATCATTATTTATCTAATTCGAAAATTCATATAATCCATTGATTGAATACAGATTTATAGACTAAAGTTCAAAGAATACTCAGTAGATAATGATGACTTTAGCGGTACACTATTTAACTGAATGCCTAGATATCGGATGAGAGATAGAGTCTGCGACAGTGAATATAAAGCAACAAATGAATAGGTCAACTATATGACTGAAGTCCTAATATTCGCTTATGAATATATTATTAAATCTGAAAAGGGAATTCATACATTTAATTCAATCTGATTGTAAATAGAAAAATAGGTGAAATGATATTATTGTTAATTAGATTTGATGGCGAACAGTTTATATGACTTACTAATAACAATGAAAATAAGAATGTAAATGATAATAAACACAACTGTTATCAATTATTATATTCGTAACGACGATAATTGTGATGTAAATGAAGAATTTTGTAAAATTTGTTTAACATATGGTTTAAGATCAGTCCAAAATTGAAGGCACAAATATTGATAAGCTTCAATTAATGTAATAGATTTCAATCGTATAAGAAGAGAAGAAATTATAGAAGCTGTAGGATTTGCATTATCAACTGATTTATCTTGAGTAGCAAAGGTATATTGTTTCAATTCTTTTGAACTACCCTCTTCCATATTTGTAATGTCCTCAGTTCTGGCACCGTCAGAAGATTCATTTGATGGTGTTAAACAACTTAATCTCTCTAAATTCAACAATCCAACTGAATGAGTACTAATCATCCATGCTTCAAGAATACAACATAGGCATTCTATAAAAGTGCATAGTCTAGATAAAATAAATCAACGTAAAACATTGATAATTAAACCATGAGAATACGTACTTTCGTTAAATACATTAAACTACTTTTAAATATGACAGTAGTATAAATTAATAAACAACATATTCATATGGTCACACTATAATTAGTAACCGACTAACTTACTTTTTAAGTTGTACAATTTTTTCCTCAGTTAAATTTATTTTCTTCTTTTTCAATCTTACCATTAAAGTATTTTTAAGTTCATTTAAAATTCCAGATAAACGTTTACAAAGAAAATCAGATGAACAAATATCATCATTATTAGGAATATCATGATGATTAGAACGTTGTGAACACCATGCTGGATGGTTGAAACAACATGATTCATTATTGAAGAAATTTATTTTTGATGTAGATATTAATTGAATAATAAAATTTAAGAATAATATCCATCCGTTAAGTTGAATTGATCGATCATCAATTCCACTCATATAGCTATATATTTGTAAAAAAAATTAGGGGAGATTAAAAATGTACAATGATCATTTGATAATATCTAATGAAATGATTAATACATTATTGATTCTGAGAGTAATGTAACCAACTGGCCAAGTACATGATCATATATAATTCGTTTTGAAAGTTCGTACTAATCAACCTATCTTATTATTGTAATAATAATTCTTTAACATTTTTAATTGTCATCCTATGTATTGAGATTTAGATGGTGGTTGGAGGTAGTCAACAGGAAACCCTGGACCCGGGTTTCGTGCTACTTGGCACTCGTCAGCAAGGTGTACCTGTAATCGATAGCATTCGATCTGCACTAATAAGGACTAGACAAGCATGACATTGATCACCACCCAGTGATCAATCAATTGTGATGTTATCCTATATGTTTATCGTACATTTGATTAATTGCCACAAATTCCATATTCAATATTATTAAGTTCTCGTTTCAACTGGTTGCTAGCTATTACTATCAAGTTGATACAGCTAAATATTGGTATTTAGTTTAATGTCAATAGTTAGTAAATTATTGTTACATTAACTATTGTAGTAATTAGTACTTCCGCTTGGATTGTACTTAGGCATGCATAAATGCCTTATACATCACATGAATTGAGAGTGGTAAAATATACTGCAATAATAGTGACGAAAATAGCGTTTTATGGACAAATCTTTTGTTTTTGATTTAAGATTTTTGCGTAACCCAATCGTTTTAGTTCCAACCAATACCGCCCAGTTTCCAATCAGAGACAGTCAGTCAGTCAGTCAGTAACAACGTAGAACTTCGTACGTACGTACATCAGTTCGAGTTGCCACACCACATTAGCACAGAGATGCAGTTGTCGATTCAAATCCCGTAGTGGTAGAGGTAATAAGAGTATAAGCAGTAATCGGGAAGATTAGGGTTTGGAGATGTTATTTAAAGAGTATAATCCAGTGAAATAAATTTGGAAAGAAAAAAAGGGACATGAAGGATTCAGAAGATTAGAATTTGGGAGAACACAGAGAGTGGATGCACCTGCGCCATTGCAAACGATTTTGAGCCATGTCATTCAGGGTCTCTAACCATCGGTTGCTATCATCTCGCGGTCCCCAACCAGGTAGTCTACACCTACCAACATGACTCAGTCCACTTGTCAGTGACTTCATGGACTTGTGCCATGTTTTGGTTTGGCCGCCCCTAGCTTTCTTCCAACCTACTCCTATACCACTGAACATAGCACGTCGAGGCAGTCGGTCGTTGGGCATACGTAACACGTGTCCCAGCCATCTCAACTGATGAAGTTTCACTACTTCATCAATTGATTTGCCATCCTTACCTAGTACCCGTTTCCTAACAACTGTTACTTACTCGATGGTCCCATGATATACGAGCAATGTTTCGAAGACACCTATGATCAAATACTAGTAACCTACGGATATCCTCTACTCTTACCGGCCATGTTTCACTGCCATAAAGTAGGACGGAACGAACTGCTGCGCAGTAAACACGTCCTTTGGTTGATAGACGGATATCTCGCCTACGCCATAAATGACGCAAGTTGGCAAAAGCTAGTCGAGCCTTCTGTATCCGTGCTGAGATTTCGTCACACACTAAACCACAAGGGCTGATGAGACTTCCAAGATAAGTGAAGCGGTCGACACACTCAACTACTTCACTCCCTATCACTAGTTCGGGTGTCGATGTAACCCAATCCTGAAGCAACATTTTGCATTTCGAGGGAGAGAATCGCATCCCGAACATGCTTGCATTGTTGCTTAGAGTGGTCAGAAGACTCTGCATTTTGTCAGCGTCTTCACCAAATAAAACTATGTCATCAGCATATTCTAAGTCAACAAGTGAACCTCCCGGTAGAAGTTCAACCCCTGGAAATTTAGATGAGGAGAGTGTTATCTCTAAAAGTACGTCGACCACAAAGTTGAACAAGAATGGGGAGAGTGGACAGCCCTGACGAACACCACTTGAGGTAATCAATTCTGATGACAGTTCGCCATAAGCTCTCACTCTACCAGTTGTGTTCGAGTAGAGAGCCTTTATAAGGTTAATGTACTTCTTTGGTACTCCTTTCAGTGACAAACACTGCCATAGAACCTCACGATCAACAGAGTCGAATGCCGCCTTAAGGTCGAGAAATACTACCATTGTGGGGCGTCTGAATGTGTGTCTGTGTTCTAGAACCTGACGTAGTGTGAATATCTGATCTATACAACCACGTCCAGGTCGAAAACCAGCCTGGTTTTCTCTAATCTGCTCTTCACGAGCTTTGATTAGGCGTCGAAGTATTATTGAAGCTAATATTTTAGACACTATATTAGTCAAACTGATTCCTCTGTGATTGTCACAAGAGGACTTTTGTCCTTTCTTATAGACTGGCACAATCAGTGATTGAGACCAGTCAGATGGGATTACGTCCAGTTCCCAAATTCTACCTAAGACCTCGGTTAATCTCATTGCTAATACTGGACCACCATCCTTAAAAATCTCAGGAGTAAACCTGTCAGGGCCTGCTGCTCTCCCTCGTTTCAGATTTCCTATGGCTTTTTCAACTTCGTAAAGGGACGGAGGACCTACATTAACTTGCCATTCAGGTTGACTGGAGATCGTGGGAAACCGAAGTGTGGCTGAAGGCCAGTTGAACTGATCCCTAAAGTGTTCTGCCCATCGATCCAATCTCCTGGATTGAGAATGAATAATATGTCCATCTTTCTCTGAGATTGTTTCGCTAACGGTCGGGTTCCTAATTCCGGTTTCCTTAACGAGTCTGAACAATTGTCTGCTATTACCTATTGCCGCTGCCTTTTCCATCTCTCTTGCTTTCGCTACCCACCACTGTTCGCGATCATTGCGTAGACTTCTTGTCAGCTTGCGCTTAAGCTGACTCCGCTCTTCATTATGTTCAGAGCCAGGTGGAATGAGTTTCCGAGCATCTATCAGTGAGATAGATGCTGCTGAGATCCAGTGTTGCTCCCTAACCTTCTGGTTTACCTTACTAGCAGATATCACTGCTGTTTCCACAGCTTTTCGGATATCATTCCATGCTGCATCGGGGTGGGCATCACATACATGGCTGCCTAACTGTTTTCCTAGTTGTTCCTGAAATATACTCTTAGCTTGACTATCATTAAGTAGGCCCTAAGAGGTTTCCTTGCAGCGTCTTTCCTACGTCCAGTAAGACGCAAGCAAATACGCGCTCGCACTAGAGCATGATCTGAATCTAGGCATGTGCTCCAGAATGAGCGACAGTCTTCTATCGAGCCCCTCCATCGGTGGCTGATAGCGATGTGATCTATTTGGGTCCAACGTTGGGACGAATTAGGGGGTCGCCATGTTAAAAGATGTTTTTCCTTATGCTTAAAGTTAGTATTTGCAAGGAACAGGCGGTTATCTGAGCATAGCTGCAACAGACGGTCGCCATTATCTGTTCTTTGAGCCACGACACCATAAGATCCACCTAGGTGTCTTTCCCTATCGCTTAGTTTACCTACTTGAGCATTAAAGTCACCGGCCACTATTACTACATCCGAGCGCTTAGCTTTTCGGAGAAGGTCCGAAAGCTTTCTGTAAAACTCATCTTTTACATCATCTGAGCTGCAGTCAGTGGGAGAATAGGCAGAGACGACGAAGAGGCAACGACGAGTGTCCCTATCTTTCCGGATTCTTACTGTTCCGTTCAGTCGGACAGCGCACAAACGACTGTCTACTGGGATCCACTCTAAGAGAGCTAATTCTGCTCTGGGACTCAATGCTATACCAGAGACGTTACCAATGAGTTAATAGTCAGAATATGAACGACCAATTATGTAAAAATACACGTCAACACTAACCAACCAATGAATAGTAATCAATGTGACGTTGTTCAGCACTTACGTCTGAAAAATAAAACACTGGTTACTACTCAACAACTGATTACGCCTAAATAAATGATAGGGAGTGAAGTAGTTGATTGCTTCGACCATAACACCTATCTCAAAAGTCTCATAAATCCTAGATGGTTGGTTTTAGCAGGAAATAGATTGGATTAAAGCGTGTTACACATACGAGTATGTTGAAGCACACTGATGGGTCAATTCTTAGCGGCTCTAGAATTTTCTTGAGTAAAATTATAAATGTACTAACATTTTTCTTACTATAAATTCACTCTCATTTAACTTAATTTACTTTGAAATATAATTACGTTTCTGTCTAAGCCGTGTTCTGATCTTGGGGACTAGCTGAGTTAGACAGTGTCCGAAGAATACTAAATAATAAAGACAACTGGATCAGATAACCAAAGATTTAACAGTTGGTGTCTAAAAAAAAACTTAGAATGAATTCAGAAAGTTAGGTTCTTTTTGGGCAACTGGCGTCACTTGTGCCAGAGGGGAGTTTACTGCTCAAAAGTCCGCTATCATCTATTTTATAAGTATTAAGAATGGCGATTAAGAATAGAGTATATTCGTAGGTTACTAGTGTTCGATCATAAATATCTCCGAGCCACTGTTCATATATCTTGGAACTACTGAATGAGCAATCGAGAAGTTAGACACAGGATACTACGTGAAGATGGTTAATCGGTTGGTGAGGAAGTAAATCATAATCTGGGATATATGTTAAGTATGCCTGACCGCTATGTACCTCGACAGCCAATGTTGGCTATGTAAGAATTATCTGAAAGAAAGGAAGGTGTGGCCAAACCAAAATGTTGGACCAGTCTGCGAAGTCAGCCAGACTTAGACATACAGGTAGGTATAGATAACTGGATTGGGATCCGTACACATATCACAACTAATAGTTAGAGATACTGGATAACATGGCTCAGAATTATCCACAATGGCAAAATTGTATTCATCCTTTAACTCCGCCTATTTCTAGAATCTTAAATTTTGCTTATAACATATTGTTTCTTTTCTTGCTACATCCAATATTTTCTATTATTACTGATAGTCTTACTGCTTCTACTATTCCGGGAAATAACTTGATACTTTTATCTTGCTGTGCTGTTCGGGATCGTTAACTTGGGGTGATGGATATGTGTCAGGTTCTACATTGCATATGACTGACTAATGATCATTGATTGGTGTAAACGGTATACAAAATTGAGAATTAAGATTTCCGTTGTTGATAACTATCAAAATAATCAAAAAGAATATGAACACAGTTTAGAAATAAATCTTTTTCAATGATCTATTTAACGCTAATATTAGCTGAGAGAGGGGATATGTAAGCAGTACTAACATATAGAAAATCACACGATTTGTATGGGTATGATCCTCGATGAAGCTGACTAACACAATCACAAAGTTATAATCATATCTTAGATGACTGATTTCAAATAGGTTGAAGTGTACTTTCTAGGTTTTAACGCTAACCAATATGTAAAACTTTTTGACAAAAGAAAAGAAAACCCAGAAAAATAAGTAGTTCAATCGTTTCTGAAGTAAGATAAATATCCACTAATGTTACTAGTAACGATGACTAGTGATACTAGTCAACTGCTCAAAATATAAAATAGATGAATATCATGGATAGAACTTTTGACGTATCGATTGGAAGAAGAGTGCTTTTATTGCATATCTAGTAGAACGAATTGAATATCAAATACTTTATCGTCAGTCAGTCAGTCAGCTACAACGTAGGACCAGGCACATGTATGCATCGGCCCAGGTTGCCATACTTCATACTTTATAGTTTTCAATGATTTGCTACTTAACTTTAGTTGTTGATAAATAAATTTCTTTTTAAACTGATCACATTCAATTCGAAAAAGACACATGCAAATAATAAACAAACAATCGATAAACATGTAAACTTACTAAATTCCTATAGAATGTAACCAATGCATACTATCAGCAATAATCATATTATGTTCTTCATGAATGATTGACAATGTACTATTATTCATTGACCGATATAAGTAATTTAATCGACATAATATGATAAATAGTAATGGTAAATGTAAACTATTCTGTATACACATAGATATAAATAAATCAGAATGTAGGAAATCTAATTTATTTTGTAAGAAATATATATGTGAATAAATTTCACATATACCAAAGAAACGATCTTTTGGCGAAATTTCATTAGGAGCTGTATGAATGATTATTTAAAAAAAAGAAAAGGTGAGAGATAACATACACTAAAACAAACATCATCATTTAATGAACAAAACCCAGTTAAATTAGAATAATGATGCAACGAGAAGAATGAAGAAGTAGTGATAAACAATGAAAGGTATCTTTTGAAATGTTATTTCACTGAACTGGAAATATGTAAGTCAATATGATTGTTTTATCAGATTAATTTATAGACTATTGTCGTATTCACTTCCGTTTCGAATTATTGTAATCTAAACGTATTTCTTGTATTTTATATTTTTTTTGTACTCTACTGTCCTATTTTAGACACAATTCAAATTAGTATCAGAAGGGGTTTTGTAGAGATTGTAGTAATTTCAACAGTTGAGATCATGAGTCAATTGAAGCTAAACGACCATGGAAAACCTGGGAGCACTGGACGGCCGTTTCGTTCTGTTGCGGAACTCCTCAGCAGTGCGCATCCACGACTCCGCCTCGCGGGATTCGAATCCAGGACCTACCAGTCTCGCGCCAGGCGCTTAACCAACTAGACCACTGAGCCGGCATCCAACGATGTTAATGTCTAACTTCAACTAATCCACGAAATTGAGCGACACATCCACCATTCCAATTTTCTGATTCCTTGTGAGTCATGGTTCTATTTTTGAGTGAGTTGAATTGGATAAATTGGGGTATAGAGTTTCAGTGCAATTGTCTTCTCATGCTGCATACTGACCAATCAGGTTGTAAGCCAGTGGTAAAATAGTTTCTTTTCTCTTTGACATCATGGTAATAAGTCGAACTCATACGTTACAAGCGTCAAGGTTTGACTAGGTAAGCTAACTCATAAAGACTATAAACTAGTTGAATGTCATGATTTTTTAAAATCAAATATTCTTGATTCGTAAATCTTGATTTTTAAATCAAATATTCTCGATTTATACAAACGGCTTATTCATCGTCTAAAAAACTGGATGAAAATGTCAAGAGCATTTTCTAGTGTCTTCTATTTTGGTGGAGTTTTGTTCTCCACCATCTCAGTGTCTTCTATGGTTGACAATATAGTCTATAATTTTATTTACATTAGCACTGAAAACTGTAGCGTTGACAAGATGATAATTCATGTTTTCATTAACATTTAAGCTACTGTTAAATAGTTAACCTAAGAGAACCAATCAACTAGTTATAATGAGTTGAGGGCATGCTTATCATAGATATAGTTAAATAGGTTTTACAGACATTGTTGTCACTCTAAGCGCTAGAGCTGAGGCGGCACTGATAGATTGGATCCCCATTAGTAGTCGGTTATATCCTGTTAGATAAGAAAGTTCCATCAAAGTAAGAAGTTAGTGTGAGAAACGATGTATTTCCATCATATTCGCCAATAATGGGCAGAGTTTCTGGAGGAGCAGTTCAACTGGTCTGCTGCTCCGGCAACATCGATCAGACTGTCCTACCCTCCATGGCCTATGACGACTGATCAACCAGACGAGGCGGAATTCACAGGAACTCTAACTCTTGAGGCGCCAAAAATCCGTCATACTTAGTAGATTGTTCTAAACCCTAGGAAGATTGACTCTCGAGGAGAAGACTGGTTTCTGTTCTGGTCGAGCATGCATTGATTAAGGTTTCAGCCTTCGCTAAATGTTAGAACACCGTCATACTTATTGCTGGCCAATAATAATGATGTTCTTGACATCTGGGTCAACTTTTATTAGATGGACAGGACTTTTCTCTGGGGTTATCTATCGAAGGAGGGTATGTCTGAGAAGTTTATCAACATCTTGAAAGCTCTATATGAAGACACCTCAGACAGAGTGAGGCACACAAGCACCCCTCCCCATTGTTTCATTCAAGCAGTTGGGTTAGGCAGGGTTGCCCAATCTCACCATTCCTCTTCAACCTTGCCATCGGTGACATTCGGGAAACAGGTCTGATGGATGTAAGTAATGGCGATGTGGATCTGTTGTCTGGAGAAAAACTTATCGACCTTGAGTATGCGGATGATATTGTCTTACTGTGCGATAATGCCCAAGGCATGCAATCCACATTTAATCAGTTGGCAATCAGTGTCCGTAGGTATGGTATGTGCTTTGCACCTTCGAAGTGCATAGTACTTCTACAAGACTGGAAGGACTCTGATCCTGTACTTACCCTGGGCAGTGAGCAGGTATAAGTAGTCGAGATGTTCGTGTATCTAGGTAGCTGCATAAGTGATGATGGTGGCGTGAGTGATGTGATTAATTCACATATAGTGAAAGCTAGAGCGGCTTATGCCAATCTAGGCCATCTTTGGCGCCTTCGTGATGTTAGTCTGGCTATAAAAAGTCATATCTACAATGCGTCGGTGGGAGAAGTTCTGCTGTATGTTTGTGAAACCTGGCCTCTCCGACTTGAGGTTGTTACAAGACTCTCTGTGTTTGATCATCGTTGTGTCCGTAGGATTGTTGACATTAAGTGGCAACAGCATGTTAGTAATGAAGAGGTTCGGCATCGTGTGTTCGGGCACAGAGACGATAATTCAATTGGTGCCGCTATCTTGAAATATCGGCTTCGAAGGCTTGGATATATTTTACGAATGTTGTCCCAGAGAATTCCACGTCGTGCATTATTTGCTGATGCTGGGACTGGTTGGAAAAAGCGGAGAGGTGGCCAGTGTATGACATAGTGTCATGGTATGAAAAAAGCTGCAAAGGGCTGGCTTCTGTTGTTCCTTCACAACTCCCTGCTTGATGTCTTAGAGGTGGTGGAATATAGTGACTTGAGACATTAGAATAGGAACCAATAGCATTCCTCCTGTTACTTTCTTTATAAGAAAAAATGAACGTAATTTCTTTAATGAAGAGGATTCTTTTTTATTGTAATTTTTCTTTAACTGAGCTGCCTCTCCCATTATTATTATTATTATTATTATTATTATTATTATTATTACTTTATTCTCATACACTAATTCTTGTTCATTGTTGTTTTCATTTTTCTTATATACACTTTATATTCTCTATCTTTTCACAGCCTTATTGTTATTGTGTAATGTATATATGTTTGGTTCCTCGTTTCTACCAATATTTATATGTTCAAATAAATAAATAAATTAATTAATTAATGAAAAGTAAATTACCATTATCAATAACAGACCAAATTGTTGCATTTAATAATTGTACAAATCGACTAGATGTTTCTTGATCTAATAATGAATTCATTGATAATAAACTATAAATTAATGGTTTTGATAAACATGCATTTATTGAATGTGGCATAATAGTAGTAATAATATTTATATTACTATCCATTGATAGAATCATATTATTATTATTATTATTATCATTGATTAAATTATTTAATAACCAATAAATAATTGCATGAATAAAATAATCTGGTATTTTATAGATAAGATTATGATCTTGTTTATTATTATTATTATGGTTTAAAGGATAATCATGATGAGGATGATGAAGTTTGGAATTTTCCAATTTAGATAAAAATTCTACACGTGAACATGAACGATTTATTAATAAAATAATTTCATTGCATAATTCAACAATTTGTTTAAATTCTTGTGAAGTGGATTTTTCTAAAGAGAATTATTAAAGAAAATCAAAATAGAAAGAATTTAATAATAAACAAAAAGAAACATATATGTGTGTTATAATCAGAGAATATTCTAGTAACTTAATAATTGAATTCGTGAATCAATTGAAGCTAGACCACCATGGAAAACCTGGAAACACTGGACAGCCGTTTTGTCCTAGGGTGGAACTTCCCAGCAGTGCGCATCCACTATTCCGTCTTGTGAGATACTAACCGAGGACCTATCAGTCTCTCGTGAGAGCGCTTAAGTTAAACAATAACACCGTTGGATGCTGGCTCAGTGGTTTAACGGTACAGAGTTTTATTCTCACGAGGCGAGATGGTATATGCGCAGCGCTGAGGAGTCCCATACTGGGACGAAACGGCTGTCCAGTGTTTCCAGGTTTTCAATAGTGGTTTAGTTTAAATCGACGCATGAATTCAACTGTTAAAATACCACAATCTTCACAAATCCTCATACTATTACTAACAATAATAATAATCAATATTTGTGAAAATATCTTAATAAAATTTAGAAAACAATTTATTATTATACATTTCTGGAATCTGTTTGAACAACTAAGAAAAAAAGATATTGCTAATTATAGTATCATGTTTAAAGTTTCTAAGGCATTAAAAACTATAAATATCCTGTATTTTTCTTTACATACATGGACTAACTTGGGAAATAAAATGTTTTGAGAATTTCTCTTTTGTGATTTTAGTTATAGTGTCAAATATCAAGTACTATGGAAGTCTAGAAAGTGGCTAAGAAGTTAATATTTTAAGCTTTTGCATTATAAATCTACTTAAATACAAATATGTAATTATAAGTGAAAATTTTCAGCAAAAACTTATTGTCATATTGAAGAATCGATTTTGCTCATCCTTCTTACATTCTGTTTATCTTACCAACGTCTATCTCACAAGTCATCACACATTCACTGTGTTCACCAAGAGAACATATGTGGTCGGAAAACTCGAGTTCTGTCACACTTTCAAATTGCGCCACACCGTCAATTTCGTCAACCGATTGACATATTGAAGAACTGATCGCATCATATGAGAACTGAATAGTTACATTATTTCAGTATGAAAATTATCAGTTAAATAATAATAATAATAATAATATCACATATGTAATCTATTGGCTAGTTTAGATATGGATTTAATTTTTCAAAGTTCTAATAACGAGTTGTAACTTATCAAGTTAATCAGGCCAGGAAGAAGTGAAGTCGCATAAGATAACTATTGCACTGTACAGTAAGCTAACTGAAATTGAGTGAACGAGTGATATTTTATTTTTTGCAAGTTCTAAAGGTGCTAGATCTAATCTCCTACAGATTCATAACTGTGTAATCATGTTAAACAAAGATGAACCAGTTATCCAGTGATTTTTAAAGTTGGACAGTGGAATACGGGATACGCATCTCATTCCATTTCCAACACATCAGCCGGATGCAACTGTCACATCTCAGTATTGATATTCACATTGAGACTTGAACCTTTCAATTCAACTACTAAGTCTACACCATAAAATGGTTACATCAGAAGAATCCGCGTACGATGCGCATCCACTAACTGAGGTTGGTCGAAATTTAGTCAAGTTTCTTAACGGAATAGTTCAAGTCCTTTCTAATAATAGTAAAAGTAACTAAATATTTTGGCGCATCGTACCACATGTTGATTCACTGCATGGAATCAACAACAATCCATGTTTTGTTAAGGTTTCTTGTTTGCTGTAATCTATCAGAAAAGTATCTTTGCAACCTCGAGGACACTAATAGGTTCCATCGAAGAAGCCTGGTAGTGAAACCTATGATAGTAAACACAAAGTGATGTAGATAACGTCTTGTACAGGAATATCAGTTATTTCTTACTTACAATAAACTTCAATGAATTATTAGGCTTTCTGATCAATTTTATTCCAGGATCTAAAATAGTATTTATAAATAATGAATAAAATCAACTTACGCCATCCAATTTGACCTGATACAGATTCTAATTCAGATAACAAATTACATATACGTAACCAGGTTAAGATTTTAACAGTTTGTGAAGAATGTAGTTGGGATTTTGTTAATGAATCATTATCTGTAGAAGTTGGTGATGATAAAATTGTTGTTACCGATGAACTGATACTAAGATTTAAATTATTAGTTAAATTAAGCATCATTGATGACATTCTATTCCAAACAACTGAGAATATTGATGAATCAGTTCTTGATGTTGATGATAAAGGTAATGATGATGATGATGATGATGATGATGATGATGATGATAGCATATGAGTTTTGATGAATGAACTCAAAAAATTATCTAACATAAGTAAATCGTCTAATTCATTCGATGGTAAAGGATTATCACATAATATAGAATATCCTAAAAGACTGGTGATTTTACGTAAATAAGCTGAACGTTTCGAATGTAATGAAATATTCACATTGGATGATTTATAATCATTTGATGATAAATTATGAATATTTGGATAAAGTCCAGTTGTTGATGATTTGATTGTAAATGAAGAATTTTGTGTGAAAGTGAATAGATCTGAAGATTTGGAAATCATACCTCCAGCTGCCGCTAACAAACTATCGATTTATATCAATTTTTATGGAAAGAAAATGAGAAAAAAAGTTTAAATGGTGATTTTCTTTCTTGAAAAAGGAATTTGTTGCATTTGCTGCAACGGGAAATTGATAAAAAGCTGAATTCAGATTACATAGATTTAGATTACTATTTTAGTAATATCTGCAACAACAAATTACGTATAATTTTAATACAGACTACTAATTTAAAGCGCATAAAGTTGAGAAGAATTATATATTTAGTTCAGGGATGATAAAGCTACGTTACAAACAAGTGACCTACTGATGGAAATAACATTCTCGTCGACTGAATTGTCGGGTATCGATCTCCTACCCGGAAGGTTAACTTATCGACCTAGAATACGCAGATGATATAGTCCTGTTTGGTGAAGACGCTGATAAAATGCACTAAGCAACAATGCCAGAATCTTTGGAATGCGCTTCTCTCCCCCTAAATGCAAGCTGCTGCTTCAGGACTGGTCTGCGTCAACACCTGAACTAAGGATAGGGAGTGAAGTAGTCGAACGCGTCGACAACTTCACTTATCTTGGAAGTCTGATCAGTCCTAATGGGTTGGTGTCTGACGAAATCTCAGCATGGATTCGAAAAGCTCGTTTGGCTTTTGCCAACTTACGTCACCTTCGGAGAAGGCGAGATATCCGTCTATCAATAAAAGGACGAGTATACTGCGCGGCAGTTCGTTCTGTTTTACTTTACGGCAGAGAAACATGGCGATTAAGAGTAGAAGACACCCGTAAGCTACTAGTATTTGACAACAGATGCCTCAGAAATATTGCTGGCATCTGCTGGGATCACCGGTTAAGTAATAGTGAGGTTAGACGCAGGGTATTAGGGAATGATGGTAAATCAGTTGATGGGGTTGTGAATCTTCATCGACTGAAATGGTTGGGCCACGTGTTACTTATGCCTGAACACCGATTACCACGATGTGCAATGCTAACCGGTGTTCGGGATGATTGGAATAAAGTTAGAGGCGGCCAAACCAAAACGTGGCATCAGTGCTTGAAGTCACTAACTTCTAGTCTGAGCCATGTTGGTAGATGCAGACTACTTGGTTGGGGTCCGCGTGACTATCGTAACCAATGGTTGAAGACTCTTGGTGACATGGCTCAGAATCGATCACAACGGTGTCGGTGTATACACTCGCTGTCTTCCCTTAAACCAAGAGATTAAAATCACTTCATATCTTTCTTTCTACGAACTAATTCTTTCTTCCTGTACTATGTTCTTATATACAATCTTTCTTTTATATATTACCACCTCTGAATTAACTACTTTTATGAATCCGGTGTCCACCTTGTTGTGTTAATGAGGTATGGCAACTTGGACCGATGGATATATGTGCCTGGTCTTACGTTGTAGCTGACTGACTGAATGAATTTCATATGGTTAGCGAAGTCTATGAAACAGAGTAGGTGGTTATGATATTTATATATTCAAATTGTGTTACTTATAAGTAGCTAGCATTTTATTGTAAAATTTCGTGTTCGCATTTTATTGGCTGATTGTGATTGATTGGTTTGTATAATTAAAAAAAAATTGTATTGACCATATTTAGTCATGTTTGTGCTAAGTGTTGACTGTTATTTCTAGTTTTATTACAAACAAACCAAAGTTTTGGAATAAACTGATTATTATTACTTATTGTAGGAGAAATTATAAACAAATTAGTGTGCGACTATTCTAATCAAATGATGATGTAAATGGAAAAAGAAAAGGCGAATAAATAAATAAACTTACCCAAATAAACGTCCTTCCATAGTTGTCGGCGGCATAAGTACATAGTAAGCTGGTATATGTTGTTCAGTTAAGTACGATAGAATAAATACATAACACGACTCACTAACTATGGATAAATCTAATGAACTTTGAATATTTTCCATGATAATTTTCAGTTGAGTTTTTATCTATTACAAGAATTAACAGAAAATGATTTATATTTAATGAATCAAATGAAATGTTAAGGTTCATTAAACAAAAACTAGAAGGTATATATATTTCCCATAAGTACGCTTAAGGATTTAACATAATATTTGTAAATTATGAATAAATGTTTCATGTGGATATGTAAGTTTATTCAACCATTTTAATCGTGTTTATAACGTGATTCCTGTTGAACATTACCCATTCACAGTTAAAAGTTGTAATCTACGGTAGTAGAATTTATCTCTGGACATAAACGATTTTGTTGGTTAAATATAGACACAGGATCGGATTCATGTTTTTTTTTTTGTTGTTGTGTCGAAATTATAAGTAGAACAATTTTAGATAAATAAAACTCACAAAGAACCGAATAGGTGTGATTGTTGTTCAATAACTACTACTCATAATATCATTAGTTAATAGTATATTTTATTATAATAGTAATAATAATAATAATAATAATAATAATGGCTTTATTCAATATTATATTTTTGGTACAATATCGAATTCTCAGCAAAAAGCATTCCAACAAGTTTGCTCTTCTTATTTCTTGATCGATCCTGACAATAAATACTGAGTGATCACCATTTAGGTGTTAACAATCCAGGAATAAACAACTGAATAATATCCATTATTTGTAATGCATATTCTCAGCCGCCAAGATGTCTCTAATTGCACTGGTTTGTAGCTTGTACAGCGAAAGGTCACAAACTTTTCATAAACGCGCCTGAATGAGTTATGTGATTAATAGACATAATGGTGTGCTAAAACAAAAAAACACAGATAACTTGTTGAAATATCTAGATGGCAAGAACAGGTAGCCCAGATATTCAAGAAGACTGTCGGTATGTTTTAAGGTGTTCAGATGAAAGAGTGTTTAACCTCAAATTAGCCATTACTAGATACAAATGTATTGTCTGTCTTTGCTAAATTGTTGGTTTACTTTTCCTATTGTTCTATTCGCTTTTACATTCTATCAACTACTATTCTTCATATTTCCCCAAAACACAAGATACCTTCAGGTTAGACGTTCATCTATCAAACGCTGAACGTTACAATTATAAGATTCAAAAATAAATTGAATAATTACATAATAAAGTACCAGTTTATCCGTTTAAGAAAACATTAATCCATTTTTGAATATTCATAAACAGGTTTAGATAACAGGTTATGAACAATACCTTTACAGTGATAAAAGTAAACAGGTACAACACGGTGAGATTTGAGAATTTTAACCACTGTTTTCACACAGTAAATAAAGTCCAGTGAGTTTACCTAAGCTATTGTACATGCACTAGACTGACCTCATAAATTAAAGCTGTTTGTTGTATCACAGCTAACGATATCACGGGTTATTTAAGATTCAGTAGAAGGGTTCACTAGTAATTTCGAGAGGTAATTCCCAGAGCTTTAGTAAGAATCGGTAACCAGTGAGGGTTCAACAATGTTGGGTGTAAGGAAGTTACCCATTGAAGACAATGTAAGATGGTTGTATAATATCGGAAATTGATTGACGTTACGTATATAAACCAATGGAATGACATTTTAGTGGTTAAAAGACTAAGCACTCGCTGAGAGACCTGAAGGCACTGGGTTCAACCTCCGATGGGGTTGTGGATGTGTTCTGCTAAGGAGTCCCAATTTAGGATGAAACAGCTATTCAGTACTTCTTGGTTATTAATGGTTATCTAATTAAGGTCAGTTAGTGGTTTAAACTATAAAATAAGTTTTTATGAATACTTCTAATGAGAAAAGAATAATTTATTTAAACAAATTTATCAATGTGAATATAACACCTACATCTTTGTTAATATCATTTGTCTGTAAGTTAGGAGCAATTAATACAATTAAAAATGTTAATGAATTAACATATGCTTCGTCCATTTTAATCATTGAATTTTCCAAATGTAATGTAGTCGATTGGCTAATGAGCCAGGGACGTTGTGCTGGTACATTAATTGATTGATTACTACTTGAGCTATTCTGATCGAACCACCACTGAACATTAGAAAGTAGGTAGACCAGAAAATTTGATGCCAATTCTTTAATTGATTGACGATTGACAAAATTATCACAGTTCAAAAGTAGCTGAGTATAAGTACAAAAGAAGGAGAGGGAGTAGGAAAATAAAGCGAAATTAATGATATGATTTAAAACATATACAGGGAGCTATTTACTAGTCTTTACAAACAGAAGGTATGCGCTTGTATATATGTGATGATTATATGACGATCAATATGCATTGACGTAATATACAGCCGAGTAAAAATTACCGATGAAAACTAAATTGACGGCACGAAACTTCCAGGACAAATAGACACAAAAAGGAGGAAGCACTTTTTTTCTCTTCATATTACAGAATAACAAGGAAGAAATCACATAACACTTGTCAAAAAGTTTAATCAAGAACCTAGTATGGATAACCAAAAGTTTATTGACACAAATACGCAATAGAATGAAATCACTTACAACATTATGTATGACACACAATGAGTACAGTCTACATTCTCTTAGTAGCCGACCATAGATTAAATTACTCAGCTATATTACTTTACTAAACATAACACTTAACATAGAAACAGATATGACTAAAGATCATTAGCACAGATGTATCTATTTTCTAAAAAGTGCTAAGACCTTAACGTGTGTAGTGCTTAGCAAAGAAACATTCGATGGCACATTGAATAAACATAACTTTCATTAAGAAATGATATCAGCTGATGATCTACTAGAAACCAAGGCAAGATTGAATCGTTATTCTATTCTAATCTAGAGCTATGACGCGCTCACAATGAAGCACGAGATCCAATCTAGAACCACTGGAATCTCACTGTGAGTACTATATCATTAAACTAACGAGTCGAAATAAAACAATCGGCATTTTCAACTGTAATTGTAATCCAACTTATTTAGATTCAGTGGCATAAACGTATCCTACTGACCATGAAATATATTTATTTCGAATCCGTGGAATCATTGGTGTCTACACTGTTAAAGAGTTTAAAACCAGGAGTAAACAGCCACTCGATGTCTCCACTGACAGTTTTTAATGGTCTTACAGCTAATGTTAGTTCGTTATAAGTTACCTTTAAAATATGTGAGGAAACATATAAAACCACTTCATCAAAAAATTACCAAATACTGGGAATGAAATGTATGAATACGAAAATTTAATATTTAGATGAAGAAAAATAGTGCATATATACAAATTGTTGGGATCAATTTCGATTCATACCACTTAGAATATTCAACCACCGACTGTCTCATTGCAAAGCTCATTTTGTTATGATATGTAATTAATGTCCTGCAATTATTATTACCCTATCAATGAGAGATAATCCGAAATTTTGAAATCAAATACTGATCAGATCAAAAAGAGACTATATACGCAAAGTTACCATGATCATTGAATCTAAACAGTCTAAATTTGGCTTCCATATATATGAATTCAATGACAAACACCATTTAGATAGCATTAATTCCTTCTCATCATTATTTTGAATAAAATCACCACTGTCATCATCCTGTTCTTTCTGATTGATGGACAAATAAATTAGAAGAGGTAATGAAATTTTACGTATATCTTGTTTACATAAATTGGTAGTAGTAGACGATGTGGAAGTAACTGGTACCATCTTTAACTTATCGCCGAAATTACTTAATATGCATGTTGTTGAAGTAAACCATATTACAAATAAATTGATTAATTGATTTGACCAAATTGGATTATCATCAGCTGGGCAAACTATATTTAGTTATTAGAAAAAAGAAGCAAAACGAAAGGGAAATATCAAGATAAAATACAATTTAAAGTGAACGTATGAATAGGATGGAATGAAACTAGTGTGGATAAACCAATACACGAATTCTATAAGCAAAAATGGATGGTGGTTAACAGTGAAATCTAGGACGCGCGCTTCATCCTATTTGAATTCATCAGCATCCCAGAGTTAGTGTTCACTCCGGGACACATGCCAATAAGAGACTGATAAACTGCAGTCTTAAACATCAACGAGAAGATTCGAACAAACTTTCCCCTCTCACTTTTATGAAAGTATCCTTGTCTTGTGAAGACGATGGGTACGAATTATGTGGAAAAGGCTATAAAAGGACGATGGCAGCAAATTATTACAAGAAAACTTCCCAGAGTTTCAGGTGTGACAGGGTGTTAGGGAATGTTTTCTTATTAAATTGATAACAAAGCACATGTCCATACACTAGACCTTCAATCATACATTTGTTTATAAGGGATAGTGATAATGTTTGGCTGCGAAAATCTAACTGTAACAGCATTTGGGATTGCATCCCGATAGTTGAATGTCTAGTGCTTTAGAAAATGAAGGATAAGGAGAGTAAACTATGATTCCCCACATCTACTTACCTTTAATAGCAGAATTAAGACATTCAGAGAATCCTTTCAAACAACATTTTGCATACACAATAAAAGATGATGATGATGATGATAATTGATATGACGTTTGTATTGTTGTAGATGACGATGAAGTTGTACTTGATTCAGTGGGATTATTCACTTTGCCATTGTAATACAATGTTATACATTTTTGTAGAATACAACCAAAAACTTGTATTAACATGTCTATAATGATTGATTGACCTATTGTTTACGAGAGAAAAAGATATAAATTTCAAGATAACAATAAATATTTAGGGTTATTTGGTAAAAATATACTCGCTGTGATTCAAAGTTTTACTCTACGTTTTACCATTTGAGAGAAGATATAAGCAGATTATTGGTATTTGATCGTAAGAATCGCCAAAGTGTTTCTCACAAATGGTGGTACAATCAAGTGAGTAATGATACTGTTGGAGATGTCTTGTATGAAGTAAAGGTGAACGACTTCGATGTACGATTTTGGTTGGTTAGTGTAGAACTAGATTGGGAGAAAGTTAAAGGCGTCAGAACCACTATGAAACATCAGTTTGTGAAGTGATAGGCTTTTGGAAGGTGTAAAATACCATACTGTTCCATCAACTAGGCTGTATACATAAGAAGTAATTTTTCTTCAGTGTAATTCATTATTCACTTGTAAATTGTACGAAACTATCAGAAAATTAACTTCTTCAGTTTTATTAATTGGCCAACGAATGTCAGTAAAGAAATGAAGAAATTCATCGTAAAAACATGGTCGTCGACATATTTCATGATTATTAGGAGAAAATCGGTATTTTATTGATAATTTGAATAAGTATTATTCAATACTGGGGTTGAAAAATATAGGTTATTACTGAGTTATCAGTATCCAATTCATCTATGATAAATTAAGTAATTCACACGAGTTTGCCCACTGGTATACCTTAATGTATATATCAAATGGCCGATTTTAAGCTGATAACTTATTTTCAATTGACAGTCATTCTGAAGAATCATTTTATGGAAAATGAACAATCAACTTACCATTTTGTATAGATAAATGATTATGTAATATGCAACATCCGATTTTTTCACACAATTGACAAGCTAGTATCATTAGAAAATGAATAATCATTTGTATAGTTTGAGACGAGTTATTTTGTAACATTGAACAACATTCATCGATTAAAACGTTTTGTGTATCACGTAATGGTGATAAAGATGTCACTGGTGAAGAATTAACAGTCGAGGTCAATCGCCTGTGTACATGATTGAGTAATTGAGTCAACTGTAAATAGAAGCAAAACACGAGCAAAGTGAGCGCAAACGTGTGTAACAGATACAAACAAAATGACGAAAAATAAATAGAGATAATGAATCTTATCCAGTTTCTTGTAAGCTTAAACATGTTATAATTAATTGAGCACAGACAGACCGATGACACCATTACGAGACATTTCGCATCCAATGTGTAACACTCAAAGCTAGGTGTGTGAATCTGTACTTGATAAGAGAGTCTTATTAGCAGTCGTGGGAATCGCAGCGGTTCCTGTTTCCCAGTGTAAGCCATAGGATTACGGATACAACAAAGGTAACACTTAAATGACAGAGACTCTACCACAGACATAACGCAAACGAACTAATGTAGATGGTACGACATTCAAGTTAGGAATAAACTAACTAAACTATAGAAATATGTATCAAAATAAGCTTGTGCAAAACTTACTTGTTCAATGGACAGACTTGTAGAGCCAGAATTAGTGCTTATATCAGCGATCAGTAAATCTTGAAACAATACCCATATGTCGAGATATTTAGGGTTACTAAGGTCTGCCAAAAGAGAACACGGAAATTAGTTTACATTTAACTAATACGATAACTTTATTGCAACAAACAATGAGCTAAATAACAGACCGTAATACTGATAATGTTAACGCTATATTTGGTAGCCGACAAACAACTTAGTGTATGATACTATTGATCGAGATTTTAGTATGTAAACAGCAACAGACCATCCAAAACAGTTATAAATAGTACATATTCTATAAAATTCCAAATGGTCTTTAGGTACATTAATATCAAACATTGACAAGAAGTGTCAAACTTTAGATTTAGATGAAATAACTAGTTGGCTATGCATACATAAGGTTATGATATACCATGCTTAAGTAGTTACTTACCACTCGGAGCGGAAAGATAGGTTTGTGTGGATACAATAAAAATCAATTGTATTTTTCCTGTATTCTGAAAATCGATCAAACCCAGTTAGATATGTCAGTAACATGTGTTGAGTGACATTTTTAACGATTGAAGTGAAAGATTTTTACGTCTGATCCCAACGCTAATGAACATTACGGAGAGCGATAACTAATCGCGTTTTAATTATTTGGTTCATTTATGTAGGAGATACCATAGCGAGAGAAGGATACAGATAACTGTTCCTTCATCAGAACCTTAAATTCTTGCAGGAGGGTACAACTCATTGTAACAGAATGATTCTACTTCCAAAAATGTTTGGACTGGACTAAGATCGTTGATTTTGGGCTCACCTGTGATCAGATCTAAGGATCGTAAGTTCAGTCAAGTATATAGTCGAGAGTCTTAAGCTAAGATGAAAATATATTTTGCCCTCAGCTCCTAGAAAATTCTTCACCTACCTCGATGTGAGATACTGGCCGAGTAGGAATAGGTTAGAGGAAAGATAGAAGTGGTGGGAAAAAGACGTGGTATTAGTCCATGAAGTTATCGACTGTTAGAGTGAACAAAGCTGGTAAGTATAGAGTACCTGGTTGGGGTTCGTACGATAATCACGATCAGAGCTTGGAGATGCTGAGTAACATGGTTCATAATTAGTCCAAATGGAGCAGATGGATTCACTCCTTTTCCACCTCTGTATTGAGTTGTAAAATTATTTAGTATTTTCTATTCCTTCAATACATCCCTTCTTTTATAACCACATTGTATAATGTTTGGTCTTTCTTACTACTACTGATATTATTATTTCTACTGGCCAAAGACATAGAGTTCATCGTTTTTGTGTGGGCTGTGATACTGCCCGGGTGCCCAAACCGAAGCAGGTGGTTTTCTTAGGGGGCCACTCCCCGAGCCTTTGACCTAAAGGTCTAATCCACAAGGCAGTGGAGCATCGTAAGGAGATGCAATCCCATGGTAGCCGGTGACCAAAGATTGGTTCATACGCCATTTGTTCCCGCAGGATACTGGAGCCCATGTGCACCATTGGTTTGTGATCCGGTTAAAGCGCCGGACATTCGCTTTTCGTCCTCTCATTTTCGTAAACAACACCCCGCCACGAGAAGGCAATGAGTAGGACTTCCCTGGCAGAGGCTGTATACGCGCGGCCGTGTGAGAGTATTTCGAGAGGGAGAGCGGACTCACCCCACTCTCGGCCGTACCAGGGCATTCGGGGGCCGTTTCATCTACTGATACGTTAGGTTGACGATAGACACAGCCGAGCAGTAAGCTGACGGAATTCAGTCTTACATGTTTCCCTATTCTGTATCGTGAGTCTTGTCTTATTATTGTTATTATTATCATCAGCTTTTTTCAATATTATATTTGTGGTAGTATATAGAATTCTCAGCGCAAAGTGTTTCAACAAGTTCCCGTTTCTTTCTTCTTGGTCGGTCCTGGCGATAGATATCGAGTGATCACCAGTTAGATGTTAGCAGTTCAGTAAATGAACATCTGAATAATGTGCATGTGTAATAACAGTCGCAACTTCTTCCAGTTACGCGCAGCAGACCTCTGTCACGCTAACGTAAATAGCCATAACAGAGGCTACCAGTCTAACCATCAAGACTATTTTGCAAATAACCATACACTTCACAGTAGGCCTGTACAAGAATTTTTTGGAATACGACTCCTAGTGACACCTCTGTTGAAGCATATAGCCCAAGTTATTTCAAACCACATGCAAACCATGAATTTGTTTCCTCCGTACAGTTTCCATCAGAGAGTACTCCGACCCTTTCCCCTTGGGTAAACTCCCCAATCAACTTCACTAGCTCATTTGATACATCTCCCACTAAGTCTAGCTATCAAAATACCGAACTAATGAAGAACATTCAATCCCTCACTTCAAACTCATCTCACACCCGCGAGGGTTACGACGACTTTATCCGAGATACTCTCACCCATAGCAGTATTATAGGAGGTATTCACACTAGCATCATCCCTCCCATTCACAGGCAAGCTTATTTGTGGTGACTTCAATATGCCCGAAATTTCTTGGCTCCACTTGTTTTAGTGCTTTCTAACTGCTAATATTGTCTGTAACACTGAAAAGACAGTAAATATGTATTCTCCACTTTGCTCAGTGTGCTTTTTGCAGTAGTTGGTTTTTTCTTCCACTTTCGACTGTTCATTAAAAAAATACTTGAAAGTCAATGGGAGTTACTAGTTGTATAAATGATGTAAATATCGATTGCACTGTCCTGACATTTATATAGTAGGTAAGTACCTCGAGCAAGGAAAAGTAAATGGGGTATATGTGTATGTGTAATAATCATGCTTTAGACATGTATTCAGTGAATGTATTTTCTAAATGTTACTTGAAACTACTGTGAGATTGGGTGAATGAATGAACAAAGCATTTGATTGTTGCACTGACCGACTGAAATTCAAATTGTATGGATGAAGTATCAGTTTCTTCAATAATGCAAAATACGTATTTTATAGAAGTTGGAATATTTGACATTCAGGTATTGCAGTGTCGGAGTTTTTAAATCTTACCCACTTTGATTTAAGGGACCAGGAATTATCACTAGCTCTAATTTCGAAAATGTATTTAAATACCAGGTAAATGAAGCAACCGAGCTATACTGGCTGGAACAACCGTTCCTCAAGGTCCTACCATGTCAGACAGGTCGGTTGAAGAGCGGTAAGACTAAAAGCAACAAACCCAAGGTCCGAAGGCGAAGTCGTACTGCTGACTGTACAGAGGTGTGACAGCAGTAAGGTGTTTCCTTCAGACAACCAGCATGACAGCGATGCTGCCTTCCCACAAGGAGGGGTGGGGTTAGAAAAGGTCGACCCTAAAAATGCACACCTCGCCTTATCCCACGGATATCCGTCTCCGGCGGTAAGGTCTCAATAAGTACGGAGCTAACACAAAAATTACCCATAACAAGGTCGTGTGTGACCGACCTCAAGCAGTTGTCCCTTGGGCACTGCGGTCACGCTCTCAGGTCACTAAGACCACCTCTAATCCAATTTCCTTTTCAGGTACCTCCAGAACAACCCTTCCACGGTGTGGGCAACCGGGAAGTGATAACCGCCCTCATACTTCTAACAGCACTCAAGACCACTGTATTCATAATCAACCTCCTCTTCAATTCCTATTATTCCTCCTACATCGACTTTCAACTCTAAATTTCCTCTCTCGGCTTCCACCTCAAGTGTCACCATAGCCAACGATTCTAGTGCGCAAAACACTGTCCCAGGTCTACTGAAACCTCGCTCCAAACTACACATTGGAGCCTTCAACGTACGCACCCTATGTCAAATCGGTCAGCAGGCTTCCTTGGCTAAAACCCTAGAGTCTCTTTCCATTGATGTATGCTGTGTCTCCGAAACACGCATACAGGATTCCAGTGTGGTCATTCACTTGACCTCACCTCGGCAAACGGAGAGCCAACGAGATACACCCTTCGTGTATCTGGTGACCCGATGGCAAGTTCTCGTGGACTGGCAGGTGTAGGCATAGCACTAAGCATGAGGGCCGAACAAGCACTGCTAGAGTGGATCCCCGTCAACAGTCGTCTATGTGCTGTTCGGCTGAACGGCTACGTAAGAACTCGGAAGGATAGGGACACACGTCGTTGCCTTTTTGTCGTTTCTGCCTACGCTCCCACTGACTGCAGCTCAGATGAAGTGAAAGATGAATTTTACAGAAAGCTGTCCGAACTTCTTCAGAAAGCTAAACGCTCAGACATAGTACTCGTAGCAGGTGATTTTAATGCTCAGATAGGCAGTTTAAACCAAACAGAAAGGCATTTAGGTGGATATTTTAGTATTCCGACACAGCGAACAGATAATGGTGATCGTCTGCTGCAGCTATGCTCAGACAATCGTTTATTTTTAGCAAACACAAATTTTAAGCATAAGGAGAGACATCGTCTAACATGGCGACCCCCTACACCAAACCAACGATGGACTCAAATAGACCATATTGCCATCAGTCATCGTTGGAGAGGGTCGGTAGAAGATTGTCGCTCATTCTGGAGTACCTGCTTGGACTCCGACCATGCCCTAATACGGGCACGCATCTGCTTGCGCCTCACTGGACGCAAAAAAGCCACATTAAAAAGACCCGTTAGAACTGAGTTGAGTAACGAGAAAACCAAAAGTAGGTTCCAGGAACAACTGAGGTCACACTTAGGTAGTTGTGAAGACGAGGCTGACCCAGATGTTGCTTGGAAGGGCATACAATCAGCTGTGGAAACAGCAGTGACATCTATTAGTGACTTAAACCACAGAGTTACAAGGAACCAGTGGATTTCTTCAAGGTCTGTCACACTGATGGATTCTCGCAAACTCGTCCCATCAGGTTCTGAACATGATGAAGAGCGTAAACAAATCAGATCTAGGTTAAGAAAAAGTCTAAGGAACGACCGTGAGCAGTGGTGGGTAACGAAAGCAAAAGAGATGGAAAAGGCGGCGACTATAGGGAACACAAGACAGCTTTACAGACTAATAAAAGAAACTGGAATTAATAAGTCAAGTGTAAGTGAGATTATTTCGGAAAAAGATGATACTCTCATCTGCTCCCAGTCCAGACGTTTAGAACGATGGGCGGAACATTTTAGAGAACAGTTCAGCTGGCCTTCAGCTACTCTACAACTACCCTCCATTCCCAGACAGTGTGAATGGAACATTGAAGTAGGTCCCCCAACTCTTGCTGAAGTTGAGAAGGCTATAGTTAATCTGAAACGAGGAAGGGCAGCTGGTCCAGATGGATTGGCTCCAGAGGTCTTTAAGGATGGTGGTCCAATTTTAGCGATTAGGTTGACTAATATTTTAGCTAAGATCTGGGAATTAGACGTTATCCCATCTGACTGGTCGCAATCACTTATCGTCCCAATATATAAGAAAGGGTCAAAATCATCCTGTGACAACCACAGAGGGATTAGTTTAACAAACATAGTATCTAAAATACTGGCCTCGATAATTATCAAACGCCTAACTAAGACTCGTGAACTACAAACACGAGAGAACCAAGCTGGCTTTAGACCTGGTCGTGGCTGCATCGACCACATATTCACCATTCGTCAGGTTCTAGAACACAGGCATACCTATCGGCGTCCGACGATGGTGGTCTTTCTTGACTTAAAAGCAGCATTTGACTCTGTAGACCGCGAGACTCTGTGGCAGTGTCTGTCATTGAAAGGCGTACCTCAGAAGTACATAAACCTTGTGAAGGCTCTTTACTCGAACACTACTAGTCGAGTCAGGGCTTATGGCGAACTGTCATCTACTTTTGCAACCTCAAGTGGTGTCCGTCAAGGCTGCCCACTTTCTCCATTTTTGTTTAACTTCATCATAGACCTATTGATGGAAATAACACTCTCGTCGACTGAATTCTCGGGTATTGATCTCCTTCCAGGAGGTCCACTTATCGACTTAGAATACGCAGATGACATAGTCCTGTTTGGTGAAGACGCTGACAAAATGCAGAGTCTTCTGGTAGCACTAAGCAACAATGCCAGAATGTTTGGGATGCGCTTCTCTCCCTCTAAATGCAAGTTGTTGCTTCAGGACTGGTCTGCGTCAACACCTGAACTAAGGATAGGGAGTGAAGTAGTCGAACGCGTTGACAACTTCACTTATCTTGGAAGTCTGATCAGCCCTAATGGGTTGGTGTCTGACGAAATCTCAGCACGGATTCGTAAAGCTCGTTTGGCTTTTGCCAACTTACGTCACCTTTGGCGGAGGCGAGATATCCGTCTATCAATAAAAGGACGAGTATACTGCGCGGCAGTCCGTTCTGTTTTAATTTACGGCAGCGAAACATGGCCCTTAAGAGTAGAAGACACCCGTAAGCTACTAGTATTTGACCACAGATGCCTTAGAAATATTGCTGGCATCTGCTGGGATCACCGGGTAAGTAATAGTGAGGTTAGACGCAGGGTATTAGGGAATGATGGTAAATCAGTTGATGAGGTTATGAATCTTCATCGACTGAGATGGTTGGGCCACGTATTACGTATGCCTGAACACCGATTACCACGACGTGCAATGCTAACCGGTGTAGGGGATGGTTGGAAGAAAGTTAGGGGCGGCCAAACCAAAACGTGGCATCAGTGCCTGAAGTCACTAACTTCTAGTCTGAGCCATGTTGGTAGATGCAGACTACTTGGTTGGGGTCCGCGTGACTTTCGTAACCAATGGTTGGAGACTCTTGGTGACATGGCTCAGAATCGATCACAATGGCGTCGGTGTATACACTCCCTGTCTTCCCTTAAACTAAGAGATTAAAATCACTTCATTCTTTCTTTCTACGAACTAATTCTTTCTTCCTATACTATATCCTTATTGCAACCTTTGACCTAACCACTCCTATGAATCCGGTGTTCATCTTGCTGTGCTAATGAGGTATGGCAACCTGGACCGATGCACATATGTGCCTGGTCCTACGTTGTAGCTGACTGACTGACTGACTGATTATTTCTACTCAATTGCCATCGAGTTTGTTAATTTTATCTTGCTGTGAAAAGGTGGTATGATAACTTGGACTGACGTATATTTGTGCTGAGGTTTATATTGATAAAAGTCGACTGAATACATGGTTACCCTATATCAAAACAAGGTGGAAATAAGTCCAAAATCGGTGGATCTATGAAAGTTTCAGGACTGTGTACTAGTGTCAAAAGTTATTTCAGATTCACTTACTTTGTAACAGTAATCTGAATGCTAGATCAAACATATCCGGAAAGTGGTTTGTTAACAATGCTTTCAAATGTACAATACAAAGCTGGAGAATAAATGGGATAGATAATAAGAGAATAGTTAGATGGCATTTAAAGATTAATTTAATATCGAAAATTTGTCATGAATTTAAGTCAACCGGGAAACTATTGGAAACAAGGGAGGACTAGGAGCTATTTTATTCCCAAGACTCTGACAGAGATGCTACTTAGAACCTCCAGAATTCGAAGTGAAAGTTTTATATTTAGGCATTGTTTTGAAGTGCAGTAAGTCCTTATTCTAACGTGAATTTTTAGTGAACACAAGATTGTTGGAAATGTAGACTATCCAATTGTCTGAGAGATCTAAGGTTAAAACGCTTATTGTGAAACCTAAAGGTTGTGAAGTGCATACCACATTTGTGGGGGGTGGTGGTTAGATACTGCTAAGGACCCAGAAACTACAACTAAACAAATGAATAGAACTTCTTGATTGTCAATTATTCATCAGCTGACGTCAGCCTGTGACGAAAACTCTTCCAAATAACTATAGATAAAAGAAAAACAAATGATCATACATATTTATATATTGTTGTATTCTAAGCCTCATAAAATTTCACTTGACCAAACTGTCAATCAAACACCAACTAATATGACCTTGGCACTATGCCAAACCAATGACGTGTTAACCAGCACGAGCAGCCTAGAGTCAACTCTGAGTTCATATTGGTTTTTCTTGCCTAGCCCCTTCCGTTTGAGTCCAGAACACAATCTCAGATTCTACTTTGTGAATAATGTATTTCAGACATACACAGTTTAAATACAAGCAAATCGGATAGCATCATACCATAAAGTAGAAAATAATAGTTATACAAGATCAGGCCAAAAGTGACTGTCAGTGTGAGAGACTGTAATTAACAATTTGGGAATAGTTTATGAATAGCAAATCATATAATAGTATTCAATAGATCAAATGAAAACTCATAATAAGAGAAATATAAATATATATAATCTAGTTACTTAATAGTTATATTATATATAACAGTCCATAAATAGTTCCCAGAAGTTACCCATAATTTAATATTCCTCAGACACAACGCATATTTAATTTATTCAGAGAAACTAACGAATAGCTGTTTAATTCTACTACTCAGCTAAGTGTAGTAGCTTCCAAGATAATATAAATTCTTGCTAGTGTGGTGGCTAATACACCCAGTCCTCGGATGCCAAGTTCCAGGTTTTAGAAATGGATCTAGATCATTGGGTTTGGGAAACCAGGAAGTATCAAAGTTTCAGGCAAGAAGTGCCCGCAGCAAATACAACCTTAGGGCTTCTCGTGGCGCTCCCAGGATCATGGAGGCCCAACCTCATGAATTAACTTGGGCGGTTGACTGAGGACGGGATGATCCACCACTCGGTTGTAACCTGGATTACTCGAAGACTATAATTTGAAGCTGTGGAGTCGTGAAACAGACTGCCGTTTGTGCATGCTTATGTGTATGAAATGTATGAGTTTCGACTAGTGTACTTTGCATGTATAGGTAATGTGCAAGAGGTATGTACCGGGTTAGCTGAAGTTGAATGAGTTAAGAATAGACAGTTTGTGGAGGGATGATCATCAAGCCGTGTAAGAGGGCAAGAGAGGATTCTATCTTCTCAATCTAGTCTTCCAGGAAACCGTCAAAACCACCATAGATGAGAATATTGGATCACAAGTAAATGACAAAGATAAAACAAAATGAAGACCATCATATATCGAATACGCTGATGATCTTTATTTGATCACGACAAATACCAAAGGTAACTCCAAACAAACTTGATGCCTGGACTTTGGTCTGGTATAACATGTGGTTACGATGGAGTGCATAGGTCTCTGATTTGTGTATCTAATACACACATATTTGGAATGCTTGCATCTATGCCTATGTGTCATACGGGAAAGTATTAGTGTATATGTGTATGCGTCCTATACATCTATACCCTATGTAAATGTATAGATGTGTCATACGTGTGTATTCGTGTTTTACTTGTACGATCGGTTATATATACATATAGATACGCAATTATACTACTCCATATGTTTAGTCTCAAAAACAAGTATATAAATATTTTTGATAAATAAATTAGAGTGAGATTGTCTTGTATAAACGATTTTTCAATGTTGTTAGATCTTCGAAAATTCATCAAGTAAATGCAAATACGTTAAGATGTTTTATTGACAAGGAGACAAGACTGATAAAAGTTATTAAATTTCGTACACTCCTAAACATCTAAGTTTGTACAAAGCACCGCATTTATTGCTTTAGTGCAAAACTGGTCGATAGAGGTCAGTAAAGACATCAGTGGTCTGAACATGATATACATCACTGCTAAATAAACGATTAATGTTGCAGAAGGTCAACTAGTTTATTGGTAGCAGATTCGATTGAGATACTAAATGTTGCTGGTTTGATGAATTTTTGAGGTGAGAACTAGTCTTCACAAGATCGTTGATACTCCCTGATGTGCACTTATCAACATAAGAATGTAGACATTCAAAATTTCATGACGATCTTACATTAATACGAGACAAAGTTAGTGTGCTGAACAGTTAGAAATCATTAGAAAGCGATTTAAAAAAATAAAATAAAACCTACATACCTTATGCAAGTCATCATTTTCTTCTGAACAAGTAGAATTTATGTCTGATGGATAAACATTTGTTGTCTCTTCAATACAAGTGAATAAAGCAAGTATTAACTGATTCCATTGTTTTTGACTAAAATGTTTAATTTCAATTGAAAACCATGCTTTGAAATTAATCTACAAATAAATACATATAAAGCACCTATTTTTCACGAACATAAATTGGATACAAGTAAAGAGACTATAAGAACATTGTACTTGTCAATTAGTTATTATGACCATGAAATTCTTTGGTATGGATATGATTTTTGTGAAATTTTCTACGGAAAACATTGTAACTACTGTTTTTAAGTGGTTTTGCATATCGTTCATAAAGCTGTCGTATGTTGACATAGAACCAATGAATACAGAAGTTGTTTTTTTTCTTCATAAAAATTGGAAACTTTTAATTCCACACCATGAGTGCAGATCTGCTTCACAATCAAAGCGAATATACTTCCAGAATATTATGAAAAGCATGTAAATGATTAATTAATTTGCTGTCTATGAGAATACCACTAGACATTGAGAGGGGAGGAAGACAGTGCACAAAAAGGCAGACAACACAACGTTAAGTACAGAAGAAGGTAAACGATGAAGTGAAACTAGTTGATCTGTTAAAGACTAATTAATATGCAGAAGTTCTCATATTGCCAAAATGGTTAGTAAAACTCACGTCCTACATGCAGAAATTTGATAAATCTATCCCGAAACTAATCACTATAAACAAAACGGGATTATAATTCTGACTGAGTGGAGTTGGAAATATGAACTAACGAATCATAATTCAGTAGTTTAATAATATAATATTCACCAAAAGACTAAAACGGGCGAGACTCATTTACAGACGAATTATTATTTTATTTATTTAAACACATAAACATTGGTACAAGGAGGCACTAAATAGATCATTCGATTTGTGTGAGGGCTGTGATAATGCCCGGGCGGCCAAACCGAAACAGGTGGTTTTCTTAGGGGACCACACCGGAGCCTTTGACCTGAAGGTCTAATCCACAAGGCAGTGGAGCAACATAAGGAGATGCAGTCCTATGGTAGCCGGTGACCAACGATTGGTCCATACACCATTTGTTCACTCAGGATCCTGGAGCCAGCCCATGTGGACCATTGGTTCCGAATCACGGTTTTCAAACTCCCCTAGGTGGACTCTCCGTGTCCACCAACCCGGTTAAAGCGCCGGGCATTCGCTTTTCGTCCCCTCAATTTCGTAAACGACAATAATGCCGTAACAATGCAGTGGGTAGGACTTCCCTGGCAGTGGTTGTATGCACGTGGCCATGTGAGAGCATTTCAAGAGGGAGATCCGACTCTCCCCACTCTCGGCCGTACCAGGGCATTTTTTGGGCTATAGACTAATTAATCAGATTTAGAATAATAGGTCTTGGATCTTGGTGCAAAATTCATTCGTCTATTTGGCTGAATAACATTTTTGCATTACAGCTGATGTCAGTTCGTGATAAAAACCCAGAATCTAACTCCTAACTCTAACGTCCATCTGTAAATCATAATCCTGATTTCTCACACTAACTTATAACCCTTTTTTAACTATCGTAGGTGGAATTCTCAAGGTCAGTGTAGTATTGCTCAAAGGTCATCCATAAATTATGGTCTTACCACTTAAAAGTTATGTTATTGGATCATGTGTATAATCGTAGGCAGGCACCATTGAAAAGTTTTATTGATTATTATGTAACTACTGTTTACCATCTCATCTCCAATGTATGATGAAAATTACCATTAAGCAAAGACAAAGGACTTCTCCACTAATAAAATGATCTTTAATAAGAAAAAAAACTTACTTTTTCCAAAATACATAAAGCAGTTTGTGCATTACATCGAAATCTTATATCCATTAAACGTTGATAAATAGGCAGTAATGGATGCTGTTGACTTTGATTATTTATATATAATGATGATAATGACGATGGATTTGGTGGTATAAATGTTGATGATAATAAATTTGATAAATGTGGCAATGCAACTAACATATCCAACAATAATTGATGCTGAGTTGATAAATTTGTTAAAAATTCACTTGCTATAAATATTATGAAAAGAATAAATAGTTAAATAAAATAAAAAAAAAGGATAATAATCTAGGTCAATTAAATGTAGCCTAAATAATAAGCGGATGCTAATGATTGACAATGTGGTTTACTTTGTTAAAGGGAACAAAATATATACATATTTGTGAATGATTTGTAAACACTCTCGATTCCTATCTCTACCACTTTTGGTTTTCTGATTATAAGTGTGTCGAAGTATATCGATAACTGACAAAAAGATTCAACCAGTCAGTTAGCTTTTAACAGATTTAATGTCAACAAAAATAAACATGGGACTGGTTTATATTTCGCTACGATTTTGTTTAACATTAAAATAAAAAGTAATCGAGTTTAAGGTAAAGATCTGAGTAGAATAATATACATTCTATTTCGTTAACTCCTCATTAACTGCCTAAAACCTGTAATACTTTAAAAAAAAACAAAATTACTTAGTAAGCTGTAGTATTTTAATTTTAGTTTTCTTGTATTTAGCATCGCAATTTTTAAAAGTAAGCGTTTAGTTAAGGGTTGAGGTTAAAACAAACGTCACTAATCTTCAGCCAGTTCGTGGTCGATAAGAAAGCAGCTTTTGTAAATGGATAGTTTGTGGGAAAGAAAGCAATAATGTTACACAAAGTGTTGACAGATTTTACATGATTAGTGAATCAATCAAAGCTCTCTATAAGTCAATCAACCTGTAAATTAAAAAAAAGTGAGATATAAATTTGCTCATATGGGTATATACTATTCGTCTCCTCAAACCTTTATGCAGACCCAATTTGATTCCAAGTCCCCATATTGTTCTTGTTTAGGTTTAGGTATTCAAACTTAGGATTACAGGGTTTGGGGTTAGGGTTTTCATCATGAACTGACATTATCTATAAGTAAAAATGACCTGTAGCCGCATAGGTGAATGAATTTCGCGCAAAAATGCAAGAGTTGTTGTCGAGTTATTTCGCTCATAAAATATAGTGCCTCCAGGTTAAGGTTCGTTTCAGCATTATAGGATTAGGGAGTGTCGATTTTCCTATTATATATAGTCTACAGAGACAACATTGAGCATTTGATATGTTTACTACCATTCCTTTATTCTGTGATAGCGAATATTAGCTTCTTGTTACTACTTTAAACGTTTTCAGCAGTATACAAAGGTAGTTCTATTGTTCATTATACTTAATATTTCAATTTCACACAAAAAACTAAGAGTCGAATTGTCGATTCTAATTGGTTTGTCTTCATACTATATTTTAATAAGTTGTAAGCTTTTTGTAAAAAGGCCTGAGTGTATGTTATTATTATTATTATTATTATTATTATTATTATTATTTATTTGAACACATAAATATTGGTACAAGAGAGCGCCAATGTATATGCGCCACACAAAACAATGAAAATTCGAAGAGAAATAGAAAGAGAAAAAAACAACTAGGGAACGCAAAAGAAAAAGAGAACAATGACGAAGAGATTGGAGTAAGGTAGTGTGGTAGTAACGACGGAACGAAAAGGTACAATCAGAAGAAATCTTTCAGGTAAAGGAGACACAACCACTTTTTAGAAAGAAAGTAAAAGAAGGTTACAGCAGGATCGCCACTGGCTTCTATTCTGAGCCATATCTGATAACGTCTCTAGCCACTGTGTAGCACCATCTCTCGGACCCCAACCAGGGAGTCGTGAAGGACCAACACAAGCCAGTCCTTTGCAGCTTTCTTTCATGCCACGACACCATGTCATGCACTGACCACCTCTCCGCCTCTTCCAACCAGTCCCAGAGTCGGCAAATAATGCACGACGTGGAATTCTCTGGGACGACATTCGGAGAACATGTCCAAGCCACCGAAGTCGGTGTTTCAAGATGGTGACACCAATTGAGTTATCATCTCTGTGCCCGAACACACGATGCCGAACCTCTGCATTACTGACATGGTGTTGCCACTGAATGTCAGCAATCCTTCGGAGACAGCGATGATCGAACACAGAGAGTCGTCTAACGTCCTCAACTCGGAGAGGCCAGGTTTCACAAGCATAGAGCAAAACTGCTCTCACCGACGCGTTGTAGATCCGACCTTTTACAGCCAGACTAACATCACGAAGGCGCCAAAGGTGGCCCAGATTGGCATAAGCCGCTCTGGCTTTCACTATTCGTGCATTGATCTCATCACTCACACCCCCACCAGCACTTATGCAGCTACCCAGATACACGAACTTCTCAACTACGTCTATCTGCTCACCGTCCAGGGTGAGTACAGGATTGGAATCCTGCCAGTCTTGTAGAAGTACTTTGCACTTCGAAGGTGCAAAGCACATACCATACCTACGGACACTGATTGCCAACTGATTAAGTGCGGATTGCATGCCTTGGGCATTATCGCACAGTAAGACAATATCGTCCGCATACTCAAGGTCGAGAAGTCTTTCTCCAGGCAACAGATCCACACCACCATTACTTACATTCATCAGAGCTGTTTCCAGAATGTCATCGATGGCAAAGTTGAAGAGGAATGGTGAGATTGGGCAACCCTGCCTAACCCCACTGCTCGAATGGAACAATGGAGAGAGGTGGTTGTATGCCCTCACTCTGCCTGAGGTGTTTTTATACAGGGCTTTCAGGATGTTAATAAACTTCTCAGGCACACCCTTCTTCAATAGACAATCCCAGAGAACAGTCCTGTCCAACGAATCGAAGGCAGCCCTGATGTCAAGAAACACTACGATTGTTGGCCTTTGAAAAGTATGGCGGTGTTCTAACATTTGGCGGAGGGTGAAGATATGATCAATACATCCTCGACCAGAACGAAACCCAGCCTGCTCCTCGCGAGTCAATCTTTCTCGGGTTTTGAACAACCTACGAAGAATGACGGAAGCCAATAGCTTGGACGCAATCGGAAGTAAACTTATCCCCCGATAGTTGTTACAAGAACGACGTGAACCCTTTTTAAAGATAGGGACAACTATCGACTCATTCCATGACGTTGGCACACTCTCTAGTTCCCAAACCTTTGTAAACAACGTCGTCAATTCCTTAGTCAAAAAGTCACCACCATCTTTAAAAAGAGCCGGAGGTAAGTCATCTGGGCCAGGTGATTTGTAACGCTTCAAGAGTTGGAGTTCCTTGCGGACTTCCTCCTCATTTGGTGGATCAGTCGTCACCGGCCATGGAGGGCAGGACAGTCTGACCGATGTTGCCGGAGCAGCAGGCCAGTTGAACTGCCCTTCGAAAAATTCTGCCCATCGTCCAAGACGTCGATGGATGTTAGTGATTGGCATCCCATCATCCTCGCAGATTGTTTCACTCACACCAGACTTCTTGCTGCCAGTGGCTCGGATGAGCTGGAAGAGCTTCCGGTAGTTACCAGATGCAGCTGCTGCTTCCAGCTCATTAGCACGCATCGACCACCAGGCTTCTCGGTCCTTACGCAAGCTTTGCCCAATCTCCTTACGTAACATCCTTCGTTTATGGTGTGTATGTAGTTCAGAGTTATTTATTCCACATAAATCTACACACAAGGTCGATTACAATATTTGCACAGTTGGGAAATAGATGACCACCAATATCACACGTGCAACCCACGAAATAGTCTGAAATAAATCAAGTGAGTAATATTGTAATGTATAAGAAAGAATCAAGTAACTTCTTACCAAGTTCGCCAACACACTTCGAAAGTACTTGCTTAGTTAATGGACACTGAAGTAAAGGACCAGAAAGATTTTGACAAAGTTGTTGAAAACATTGCAAACCAATATTCTGTACTACATTTAACTGATCATTGATAGAAGTAGCAGTGGTAGTCGTAGGACCGCAAGAAGGATATAATGAAGATGATTCGGATGAAACACGTGTAGCGTTTGTATTGAGATTTTTTGATTCAGAGGTAATTAAACGTGATTTATGTACCAAGTAACTGGATTCACGCAAAACAAAATACAAAAAAGGTTATGTAATAATAGTGACGATGAATACCGATACTTATGAAGCTTGGGAAAATCTTAAAGTTGCTTATACCAGCTATTTTACAACTATACAACATTACACAGAGTTTATTGTCAAGACATGTAACTTAACGGTGAACAAGTTAATCAGTCAGTCATAACCAACGTAAACTTTGGTGTAAATGTGTGTCGTTCTCATTGATCACACTACATTCGCATACAGAGAAGTAATTAGCAAGATGAAGAACAAAAGAGTGGAAGTAGTAGCAGAACTAATGATAGTATCAAAGGTTTATCATAAGAAATCCACGTATAAAAAAGTGAAACTGATGATGAACTCTAGGATACAGGTACATTCAGATGATAAGTCATGAATAGGACGAAAAAGACAATTATAGATCCCACCCTTAGATGTGACCGATCTACTCTGTTATATATTGAATATTTAGTGAAAATCAACCGAAATCCTTGTCACAATTAGGAAAAAAACTTATACTTTATCTGGGAGATTCAGATCACTATTACTCGTACAAAAAGATAAAGACATCTAACTTAATTAAACAATTCAAATAACTTACTAAATTTACCCACTAAAAATAATAATCAGCTAATAATACTACTAACCTGACTGCATTCTCCAATTGAAGTACAGTACGTGCCCAATTTACTCCAAGATTTGAATGTTTACCACCTTCTGGTGAGATGGACGTTGATAGTGACGAAGAATCATTGTAGTTTAGAACATCACAGGCTGCAGTTCGTGATACATCTAGTGCCAAATTAATTAATCTATCAATATCAGATCTGTTCATTTGATATAACTCATCAATCTCTTTATTTCGTTCATCTGTTTGATATTCACATGAAATATTAGTACCACCGGAGCACGATTGATGACCAGGCATCCAAGAAGGTAGGACTAAAGTAGTAGGTAGAGAAAAAAATGAAGGATTATAGTGCATAGAAGACTCAACTCGGAAATTTGAAAACACCATTCTGAAGAAATGCTATACAGACAGGGAGAAAGTACACACTAAAGAATTCATTTCCAAAGGCTGACACTAACAATAATTGATCACTAAGTAGCAATTATTGTCATACATATCTATTCCTATGGTGCCGATTGAATTCTACGCAAAAAGTTACAATGAGGCTGCTAATCTAAGTAACTCGATGTCGTGTGTACTATGTTTGGTGATTGTACGTATTAAACAGGAAACCCTGCACGACTTAAGTTTCGTGCTGGTTGACATCCGTTAAATCATACAGGGAATATCAATTCCCTCAAAATTACAGGTAACCATTGTTGAAGAATTCTAACTAGGATGAACCCTGGGTCCATAATTTCCTACCAACTACCTACAACTAGCTAATAACAACAGTTGAACATAATCGAGGCTTATGTGAAATAGCTGAGTAAAAAGTATAGTGATTGAAGGATATGCTACATAAAAGTACTAAAGTGAGAACTAATACCTTTACATCATTGAGTCGTATCTTAACGATCCACAATTTCAACTTTAGCCAGAAAGATGAACATCATTCAGTGCAATGGAGGACGACATCTGACTTATTCACATCTAAAACTGTTTGCTTTTAATAAATAACTTATTGTAACACAAAGAATTCAGAGAGTTATAATATTTGAAGGTAAAAAACAGGTTTATCAGCCTTATACATTCACAACGTAACATAACAATTAAAAGAGGAGAATCTTACAAAGATAAAATAATAACGAAAGTAGTAGTTGTCTATTGTAAATTCAAATCAGTGATAAAAACTAAAGAATACATGATAAATCTTATTGAATAGTGGAAATGAACCTAGACTTCACATTATGTACAATATACTTATTAGAAAATTGATCTTTTCTTACATCAAATGATGTACCCCCCCCCCGCCAAAAAACACAAAAACAAACTTACTTGATTGGCATTCAACATATTGCAGTAAATTGATACGTACTGGAATATATAATTTTGGGAGAATATTTGTACAAAATTCATTTTGTAACTTTTCAATACATTCAATACGATTACACATTTGTTTAGCATGTTGACGTAATGAATCTACTGTATCCTAATAAAATGTGAAATTCATTTCAAATAAATAATCATATTATGAATATCGTAAATACAACTGTACTTGTTTTAAAAAGAATTATACAATTTTTGAACAGTTGAATTCACGAGTCAATCTGAGCTAGACCACCATTGAAAACCTGGAAGCACTGGACGGCTGTTTCGTCCCAGTATGGAACCATCCAGAATTATTAGAACTCGAATAAAGTAGACAAGAGATGTAATGCATAATCTTAACCCATATTTAGGGATGAAATAACACTTAATAATCAAAGTGTTATTAGAATTTGATTCGTATAGAGGACATATAATACAGTAAATAAGAAATTGATCTAATCAAGTAAAGGCTATTTACTCAAATTTCACCATAATTAAGAGTTAGTTAGTTTTTGCTTCAGTAATTCTCTTAGTATCAGTAGAGGACTTGTTCAGACATAAATAAATCAAATAGTTTAAGTGATAGGAACGAATCATAAATAGCTGATATGTTTATTGATCATTTTAACAAAGTAAGAGGAGAGTGGTGATATGAAACAATACTTCATTAATTTTCACCTACCAAAAATGTTTACTTATTTCATGGTAAGTAGTACAACAAAACGATTTTATCAACCTACAACAGAAATGAAATTCAGAATTGACTAAAATGTTGTAGATGTATTTATTCTTTACCATCTCTTAGATCTTGAGCAATGATACAACATGTTCGAGTGATAAATGTTCTTGAAACCAATTGATTAAAGTAAATTTGTAAACGAACAGATGCCGGCTCAGTGATCTCGAGTCCCGTGTACAGGATTGTGAATGTGCACTGCCGAGGAGTCCCATGCTAGGACAAAACGACTATCCAGTGCTTCCAGGCATTCAATGGTAGTTTAGCTATTAGAATTACTACAAACGACTCAAATCTTCATTCTGATAAGACAAAGGAAGACAACAGCTTAAAAGAATAGGTATATTTTTTATCTGTTATGACAGGATGAAAGGTCAAAATTTGATTGATTCATTCATTATGATTTGTACCCAATATTAATTCCGTTTAATTCAATTTGATGATCACTCAGTATAGTATTAGTTTGGTTTCCTCCTATGACATTTTATTCTGTATTATATATGATATTCTTGTATAAAGTATTTTTCATATACGTGATTTACTATGTACTGTAGGAGAGAACAAACCAGATTCCAGCGGAGGAAGAAATCAGGAAGAAGCGTTGGAAGTGGATAGGACACACATTGAGGAAAGCACCAAACTGCGTCATAAGACAAGCCCTTACACGGAATCCTCAAGGCCAAAGGAAAAGAGGAAGACCAAAGAACACATTACGCCGGGAAATGGAAATAGACATGAGAAAAATGAACATGAATTGGATGGAACTAGAAAAGAAGGCCCAGGACAGAGTGGGTTGGAGAATGCTGGTCAGCGGCCTATGCTCCATTGGGAGTAACAGGCGTAAGTAAGTAAGTAAGTAAGATTTACTATGATTATTAATCAAAAATGAGTGTACAAACCAACATATAAATGGGTGTATTTCTGACTAGACTAGTCGTAGTTGCTCGTGCTTCTGGCTTTTGCGGAATATGCTTCCCTGTTTCAAACTTCAACTTCTCTCTCTAGTTAGCGGGGCTGTGACGTATCAGAATATCTAGCTTATCGGTCTTTGGTCTCAGAGTCTTAGTTCCGTTCGCAGATTAGACTAGGCGAACTCATAATCACTTCAAACATAGCATTATCTAATCAAGTATTACGCTTAGGTATAAGATTTTAAACACAGTAATAAATGTAAACAGAATTTAAATGAAACATAGATGACTGAAAGTAATTTATATATTTCCAACATACTTTATATCCTAGATTTTGTCAAAATTAAATTTTATTTTGATAAAAATTTGTTTATCAAAAGAGTTTATAACTTTCCTTCCTTACTTTGTATACACTTACATACTAGATGGACAATAAAAACCAAAACTTGACACCAATAAATCAGATTCAAACTTGTATATTGCATTTTGATTCACACTATTTGTGGCATTTACGTACTAAGTGCTTGAACTAAGTAAATAGAATAGTGTCCGAGTCTAATAATAAACGGTAAAAAGCTGACTGGATTAGATACTTAGTTACTGTTCCCATATAATGACATAAATATTACTGAGATGTTTAATACTAACTTTCAAAAATTATCAGATGAGGCCATGTTTCAAAATTAATAGTGATAAGGAAGACTTACTTTCATATATTTTGGGAATTGATCGATTGATGACGGTAGGGTCATTAAAGACGATGATGAAAATAAAACTTCGAATGATGATGAACATGATAATTCAATACGACGTTCATGAGATTCACTGTTTTGTAAGCGTAAAACACTTGATTCCGGTGATACTGACAAGATAAATGATGACGATGATAATAATATTTATGATTTATTTAACTTCAAAACTATTTAAAACGATTAATCCATTTGATAAATTTGGATAGTGTAACAAAAAGCCGAAGATTATCAGAAATGTGTAATACATTAGCGGAATATATTTCGAACAGTCTGATTACACATTTACTTGTTAAGAACATTTACATATGAAAAATTAAAAAGTACACTAGACAAATGAAAGGTAAGAGGAAACAAAGATAATAAAGAAAATACTGTGAAACTTACCACGCTGGATAATAAAGCAATATCACCAGGGTAAGTTTAGGATGAGAACAAACTATGATAATGACCTGAAGACAAGAACAATCAGTTTCATTTTTTATATATATGATTTACTCAAACGATCCATTTTAAGAAAGTCAACTTGAATAAGCTAGTTTCATAATTACTGCATAGTTCAAGAAAATGGGGTTTGATAAAGGACCTATTTTATAGGGTTAGTCGCAGTTTTACAAACAATGCTTTTAGTGACAAAATAAAGTTATTGAACAAAACATTAACGGAGAATGGTTATCTTATAAAATTTATAAATCGATGGAAAGGTCATAGTATAGTGAGACTTACTACATCGTTGGAACAGTAAAAACCTGTCTACATTATCCCATCGTTCAGAGATGAATCAAATAGCCTTTTATTGAAAGAAAGGCTCAAATCAGTTATTAGCAAAACGTACTAGGCAGCAAAGGTCATTATCATGAAAAAATCAAGGTCCATGCTTCACCGAAAACATAAACAGCATGTAAACAATTGCGTCACATCAAACTGTTTATCAATTTACATGCAGGTGTCCATACATACACGGGAAAAAGCAATCGTGATTTGCGAATTAGGGTATCTGAATATATACCAAAATGATTGTGAACATAAAAAAATTAAATGGCACAGTAAGACGAGATGGTAAACACCCATCGTCCTCGATTGCTAAACACTGTTGAAACTGGTCATAAGACTGATATTGACTCCGCTTCTGTATTTTTGTATAAAAGTGTTCAAGGGCGTATACCAAGGTTTATTGAAACCTTAGCCATACGAAAATTCAAAACTACTTTATGTGCTCGAAAACGGTTTCTTCTCAATTTAAACGTACCCGGTAACATTGTTTTATTATCCAGTGTGGTAAGTTTCACAGTACTTTCTTTATTATCTTTGTTTCCTCTTATTCTTCTTTAACAAGTATATGTGTAATCAGACTGTTCGAAATATATTCCGCCAATGTATTACGTAGTTCTGATAATCTTGGTCTTTTTGTTGGACTATCTAAATTTATAACTATTATTTAAAGCATAAAAGATAAGTACACATATGAGATGAATAACAATCGGATTAAAGAGAGAGAATTTCAATAAAAAAGAAACGCTCGAGTGGGATAACCCAGATAATGTCATATTTATAGTGAAAGTTAGAAAATATTTATGTACCAAACTAACCCGTTGATAACACGTTTACATTATCATTCTCACTAGAAACTTTCATATTCGATTCATGCATATACTGATATGTATTCCATAATGACTGACTTGTTTGCATAAATGAAGTTAATGACGTCCAATCGAAATAACACAATAGTATATCAATCTATATGGAATAATTGTGTAAAACAAATATATGATATAAGACAAGGAGATATGAGATACTGTGTAAAAGAAACTATCATACAAACTAAATAAAAGGAACAAAAGAAATGGAATTAGATTGAATTTAATGCTTCTCTGAGGATAATCTAATCAAGTATATTTTAAGCTTTTTGTAAGCAGATAAGATTAATAGCTCGTGAATTTATGTTTCTTTGACTATTGCTTAAGCCATGCAAAACGGACAATTATGATTTAAATTCAAAGGTCAAGAATTTCGTAATGAAAAACAGAAAAATTACTAACATTTTACAAGAAGATATTCACAAATAATTCAATTTAATAACTTACCAATGTAATGTGGATAATTTCCACCAAGGAGTTAGCATCTGTCATGAAAATTAGGTCGTGAACTCTAGTCACGAGTGCTTTATGCCGTCATATTTTGATTCATATGAACAATCACAGCATTGATGTGCTGATATTAATATACTAGTTTGACTTTCTTAAACCATCATGTGTCAACCCATTTCAGAATTAGTCAGCCTAACGAATTGAGTTGAGGTTTAGAATTTCGTTATTCTTAATTAACTCCTCTAATTTTAGTATTGTACGTTTAACATCAACAGTATATTACTAGTTCAGTGGTTACTTCATGTGTGAACAATAATTTAACGATTATCCATAAGTAACGCAAACTTTTTATACATTGATATTATTATTATTAGTGGCTTTATTCAATATTATGTTATTGGTAAAATATCAAATTATTAGCACAAAGTATTTCAAAAAGTTTCCTTCTCTTAGTTTTTGATCGATCGTTGCGATAAATATCGAGTGGTCTCCAGTTAGATGTTAGCAGTTCAGGAATCGACATCTGATTAATTTCTCTGATTGGGCTATTTTGTAACCTGTACAGTGAAATGTTATGCGACTGTAAGGCATAATCATGTGTTAAACAATAAAACAGATAACTTGTTGAAATATCCAGATGGTAGGAATAGGTAGCCAAGGTATTCAAGCAGGCCGCCTTAAGTCTGGTGATTGTATTACAATATATAATTCAACAGACTAGTACAAGCGATTTTCTAAAGAGGGGACAGAAATATGTGAGGATCAGATGATTTAGACTTTTCATTTTCAGTCACCTGAATGAAAGAAAAACACACTTGCATTACAATAGATTTCCACCATTATAAATCGTGTCTGATTATACATTAAGAATGAAATAACGCCTAACAGATAAATGGAATTATCTTCCTTCCGACTTCCCGACGGTAGATGCCGCCTGTGGTCGGGCCAACATATCGTGATGACTCAACCGAGTTATACTCGCCAGAAAGCACTATTCGTTAATTCATACCATGCCAACCAGGGAGGTTGGAGAACGGTAAGACTAAAAGAAGCGACTTAATTTCTGAGGGCGAAGTCGCACTGCTGAAGGTAAGGCTGTGACAACAGTAAGGTGTTCTCCCCGGACAACAAGCAACTGCAGTGATGCTGTCTTCTTATAACGAGAGGAAGGGTTAAAAGAGGTTGATCTGCGAAGCTAATACATCAAAAACTTCTCATAAAAAAAGCATACGCAACCGATCTCAAACACTTGTCCCTTGGGTACTTCGATCACGGATCGCTAAGACCACCACCGATTTGTCATCCTTTCAAACCGTACAAGAAGAAATATCCTTCCATGGTACGGGGAGCCAGGAAGTGACAACCACCCTTATTCCTATACCCCCGAAATCATCTTGTTGACAATCGAACCCCTCTTTCACCTCCTAATAATTCTCTTGTCCCCACGATTAACCCTTCTCAATGCTAATGATCTGAGTTCATGAAATGTTACTTCTAGTCCCTTTAAACCACATGTGTGAAGTTCTGATTTTCGAACCCTGTGTCAGATAAGACAGCTGGCTTCATTAACTAGGACTCTAGAATATTCCACCATCGATGTATGTCGAGTCGCCGAGACGCGCATACAGGATCCAAGAACAGTCATTCGTCTAACCTCACCTTGTCAATACAAAGCGCTGACGATTTACCCTTCGTGTATCTGAAGGCTCCATTTTACTTCCCGTGGCCTCGTGGGCGTAGATATAGAATTAATTTCAAAAGCAGAACAGGTTATGTTAGATTGGATTTTAATAGAGAGTTGCTTGTGCGATGATCGACTAAACGGGACAGTAAGAACTTGAAAATATAGGGACACAAGCCGTTTTCTTTCAGTTGTCTCTGCCTACGCTCACACTGGTTTAGCTCGGATGATGTTTAAGATGAGTTTTATAGAAAGCTATCCAACCTCTTCCAAAAATCTAAACTCTCTGAAGAAGTAATTGTCATGTTTAAGTAAACAGGCTAAATCAAATCGAAAGGCATTCGAGCGGATCATACGGTGTTGCGGCTCAGAAAACAGATAGTGGCAACCGTCTGCTGTCACTATGTTCAGATAGTGTCTATTTCTAGCAAACACCAACTCCAAACATAAGGGAAAACATCGTTTGACGTTGTGACCCCCAAGATCGACTAGTCGATGGACTCAAATAGATAATATTGCCACTGGAGGGGCTCTACAGAAGACTATCGTTCCTTCAGAAACAAATTTTTGACTCGGATCATGATTTAGTCCAAGTATGTATTTATCTGCATTTTACTGGATGTAGGAAAGCCACATCAAGAAAATCCCTTATAATCCAATTCAATGACGAAAAAGTTAAAAATATATTTTAGAAACAACTAGAGGAGATAGTCTACCATGAAAGTGATATCCACACCAATGTAGCTTGGGACAATATCTAAAAAAGCTGTGGAAACAAAAGTAATATAACTAGTGTAAGACACGACAATAGGTAGGAGGAATGTGTATTTATTACGAGAAGTTATGAAGTATTTACATAATACATATACACAGCCTCCAATCGTCCATTTGAATCTTATGGTGTGTTTTGCAATCTGAACCGTCGTCTCGACTGGCTTCTGAGTGTTCTCACAACGCCGTACTTTTGATGCACTGAAACTTTTGCAACTTCAACGACACGTTCCGCTACACACTACTCACAAACATATTTGTGAATAGCGTCCACTACACTAGTAACGTAAACCAAAATGTTAGAAAAAGTCAGTGGATTTCAGTGGGGTCTACAGAGTTGATAGATGCTCATAAATTCATCCCATCCGGCTCTGAACACGATGAAGAGCGGAGGCAGCTTAAACGTAGGCTGATAAAAAGCTCACGTAATGATCATGAGCAGCGGTGGGTAGAGAAAGTAGAAGAGATAAAGAAAAAGGCGACAGGGATAGGTAACAGTAGACAACTACTCAGAATTATCAACGAAACAATAATTGGAAATCCGGTTGTCCGTGAAACTAGACTATTATTCACTCTAAGTGCAGGATATTGAATCTATGGGCAGAACACTGTAGGGAACAGTTCAATTGGCCTTCAACCACACATACATCTCAATTACCCACTATCTCAAAGCAACGTGAGGTTGACAAGGCTATAAGTAATCTAGAGCAAGGGAGGGTAGCTGAGTCTGATGAACTAAACCCTGAGTTATTTAGGGATAATGGTCCAGCTTTAGCAGTTAAATTGACTGAGATCCTAGCTAAAATTTAGATACTAGACGTAATCCCATCTGACTGGTCTCAATCGCTTATCGTCCCAGTTCATAAGAAAGAACGAAAATCCTCTTGTGACAATCATAGAGGAACCAGTTTAATTAAATAAGATCTAAAATATTAACCTCGAAAATTCTTCTACGTTTAACTAGGGCTCGGGAAGAGCAAACCCAAGGAAGCCAGGGTGGTTCCACACCTGGACGTGGATGCACAGATAAAATATTCACCCTTAGGCAGGTTCTGGAACATAGACAAACTATTCGACGTCTGAAAATAGTTATTATTTAACCTTGTTGTTCATGAAGTTCCATGGCAGCGTCTGTCATTGAAAGTAGTACTGAAGTACATTATCTTGTGCAGGCTCTCTACTCAAACACTACTGGTCGAGTCAGAGCTTATGGCGAACTGTCGTAGGCATTGGTTAATTCAAGTGGTGTTTATCAGGGTTGTTCGCTTTCGCCATTTTTATCTAACTTCATCATAAATATGCTTCCAGAAATAACACCTTCATCGTCTGACTTTTCAAGGACTGATCTACCAGGAGATTCAATTTCTGACATTGAGTACCCTGATAGTATAGTGCTGTTTGAAGACGCCGACAAAATGAAGTCTTCTGAGTATACTGCTTTCAGGACATCAGTAATATTGGTTCACATTATTCCGCTCATTGAACAATGGTCAATAAAATTCTCAAACATTCATTGCCCGAGTTTGATATATCACTTATGGACTATTGTAAACAATCTTATACAAGAAACAAAGAAATAGAACTGTTAGACAGCTTAATCTAGGAATTATCATGACTAACAATATCCTTTAAGGAAATAATATCATTACACTAGATAAAAACTAGTTTACTACAATAAAGAAAAACTTATAAGATGACAAAAAACAAAGTTATCTACAATGGGAGTCACTCACCACAGACCGTTGATAGCCTGGATCCAATAAATGTGAGAGCTTCGAATTGGATTTAATATCATTTACATTTAGAAATGGACTACGTGATAATAATACATCGGACTGGCATAAAAAATCAATAAGACAGTTGAAATCACTGAAATTACGAAAAAGAAGTAAATATTTAACAAGGACAGTTTTAAAAAAGATTGATTGATCACTGAGTTGGTAAGCGACATAATATCGCCTTGTCCATTAGTGCTTACTAGATCCTATCGATCACGTGGCTACCAATTTCATTATTTGAACGTAAGGTTGAAAATTATGTCATGTGGTTAGTGGTAAGCAAAATAAACCATGGGTCTGAGCTTTATAGTGACTGACACGTCAATTAGCAAGGTGTACAAGTCTTAAATAGGGCTAGTGTTCCATATGGGATTTAAAATCTCAACACTCAGTATCACAATTAAAGACCTTATTCCTGAGTTATTTAGGTAGAGACTGACCTGTATGATTGAACTATCCACACAACAATTGGTGACTTCATAGTAATAAACTTTATGTTCAGTAGTTTCCTAGGGCTGATCGAGTTCTGTCAACTGAATTGTAAAGTGTTTGTCACACTAAGTAATTTGACAGTGTGTAGGATAAGATCGAATACCATTGGGATCATTATTTACCTCAAGATTGCAGATTCATCATGGTGACGAGTGTCAAATATGATCAAATGTTTAGTCAGGTCTGACTGAATACTGGTTTAAATATTATTAGTTAAAAAGCTTTTTGTCAAATAATTTATAATGCAGTTAACCGGTTCATGATAAATAATGTGTTGCTGGTAGTACACAGACATATACAGAAAGGAAACCCGCAGATACATCTGTATTCCAAAGTATAACGTATGACAATATGACGGATATATATTCTTTGTCAAATTATGTAATCGATGAACTAATTCTCTGAAGTACTAAACAGCTATTGATAGACAAGTTCAACAAGTTGCAGTGTTTCAGCTTAACTCTTTTTGATTAACTATTGAAGTATTTCATCTATTCGTAATGGACTAAGACAATGAATGACAAACTAGTGTAGTGGAATTGCACTATTATACTGTTAAAAAGGATTCTTGGTAAAATTGAAATATGATGGAAACCCTCCTAGAGCGAAAACGACTTTCTTAAGATCTATTGGTTTCTATATTCATCTCTATGGTTGTGAACGATTCTGACGAATGCCATTTGAAATCCGCAAACACCGATTGCGGTTATCACGCAAACCTCAACCACGTAGTTTCGATATACCCACACAGCTCAAAGCAAAAACCAATGACTTCATGAACTGATATTACGCCTTAGTTTTTATAGTTCCTAGTTTTGCCCCACCTAACTCATTTAGCAACTGACGTTCATCCGTGGAGGTGGGTAGTGTTTAGGGATACGTGTATTTGAAAAAGAAGACTAACAATGACATGTAAAATATGCATTTCGTCTTATATAAAGTGATTCGTTTAAAAGCCAATCTATTAACAAATTTAATCTTAAATAATTAAAAACACGAAAATATCAACCCTTACAGATACTTAAAAGTCAGTTTCTGTATATATTATTAGTTCAGACATACGGAATTCGTACGTTAATCTATGTATGTAGCAACCATCTGTTAATGATACAGAACTAATTCAGTTTGAAAAAAAATCAACCAACTGTAAATAAAAAAACTTACTGTGTAAATGAAGGTTTATTTGAATGACAGTGACTATTTACTGATGAAATCAATCTAATTTTCTGTATAATCAATTGAAATAATGATTGTTGATAATCTTGTTTGTTTAGTGATGATGAGGGCGATGATGATAATGAAGATGGTGAAGATGACGATAATGGTAGATAGGATGAATGTCCAGTGTGTATGAATAATGAGGCTGGTAAACAGCGTAACAGCAAGAAACCAGGTGTAAATGAACTGAAATTAGAATGTTAACATATTTGATACACATATTAAAGAGAGAGAAAGATTAAAATCAGTGAGACAGGGTTAAACAGATAAATAATCAAACGATATGAATGTTTAGAATAACAATTATTGTACAGAACAGGATTCCAGTTAAAACGTTAGAAACTGGTTTACAAAAATTGCTTATAAGCTTTCTTAAAATGAATGGTTTATTACAGGAATCATGTAACACAGATCAAAGAGATTAAGATTACTGACAACAATATGATTCAATTTGCTGCTGTCAATACACAACAAATAACCATGGAGCAAAGATAATATTTCACGAATTGAAAAATAAGTTAGAGATTGATAACTACATAGTTTGTTGAATTGCATTACAGAAAATCATGATGCAACAGCATGTCATGTATATGTTTGTTTGAGGTGGGTGAACATCTATAAATGAACTGCTTAAAGGAAATGTTCACTGTAGTGTACGTATCTAGATAAACTGCCCAATGATTTTCAATTAATTACCTATTTATTGGGGGAGGATGGGTCTGTGTTCTATATACATGATATTTAATGAAGTCCTAAGTTTTGGTTGTGTGTTTTTGCGAATATGCTTTTTTTTTAAAACATTATTATGCACGAAAGCAGATATTATTCAAGTAAACTGTTTTTCGAAACCAACATCCTCTTTTCAACTACAAAATGGAAGTATAACTTGAGACAATTGTTAGAAGCGTTACTGTTATTATAACCTGGTACAGATAGAAAAATGAATTCATTTCGAGAATGAAATTTAAATCTACACTCTTCGGATAAGATTCAGCTATTACAATGAGGGATACTTACCTATACATCAACGTAGTAACTATACACGACAATATACATCATAACACATACGATTAAAAATATTTATTTGTTTATTATGCATGGTGGAAATTTCCATTTCGATATTTGGTAAGAAGAAAACGATGGGAGTTAAGAAATTTTTTTCATCATGGCTCTGCACATAAATATACTAGTGTAGAGCCTTGATGAGAAACGAATTGAGAAGAAATTTCTTCGCTCTAATAGTTCTTTCTCCCAAATGTTTATTATTTGGCGGGGTTCCATTAGAAAGAATTTATGGACAGATTTTTATATTCATCAAAACTACCTATTATCGATCGTTGATGTCTGTCGACATAAGTAGCATACACCAAAAAAATATCAGAACCAACAGTCATCGACACTAATTTTCTGACTTTCCTACTGAATTCTATAATACGTTTTACACTGACATGTGACAGTTAATTGTTAATGATATCTAATTAATTTTTTTATCCATTTTATTGACTTCCAAACTACTATCGAGTGTAGACAGTCATAGATGCAAACATTGGTTAATAATATTAAACGAAGACAATATAATTGTCTGATACTGTGTGGTATCCAATGAATCACCAGTTGATATCGATTCATAATGAAAATTGTCTTCAGAAAATAAGTATATATCGACATATATTTTTGTGATTGGAGGTAATCGGTAGATGTGCCCTGTTGCTAAATCTCAACTAGCATAAAACACAGGCTAAACAAGATTTCCTGCCGACAACCTCCAACCACTTAACATCAAGACATAATGTATGATATATTGAGTTATTTAGATAAGTGGTCACATTGCAGTAACCTGATCAATAGAATTCGATCAGCACATAAAGGAGTAGAAAATCCTTATAGTGACCACTATTCTGTAATTAGTCACTAGAGTATACATTGGAAACAAGAGATAGATACATAAATAAATACATTAAATAATTATGACGAAGTCAGCTGATTAATTATTTGATCACACAACAAGTATAATTTATAACAAAATAATATTGATTACAGATATACAATAGATGATAATTCTTATGGATATGTGTATACACACCAAAATTGAACTATTAGAAATATACGTTTAATTAATTACATAAACAATTTTTATTTATGATTCGAGAGAGGAAAAAAAGGAAGACATTTTGTTATACTACTGTTTCATTTTAGGAAAGTGAAATATGACGAAATTGATATAAAAAAATTACAATACACTTCTTATTAATCATGTGCCAGGATATCTTTTAGCAAACTTTAAGATTCACAAGAACAGAATCGATGGGTTGGTAAAATGCGAATATATTTGTTTAACCATCCCATTTCTAAACAAATAATAATCATCACAAAAAATGGTTTTCCTCATTTGAATGAAGAATATTAAAAATAGGAAAATATTAGTATAAGAGGCGTATGGAGAAGAATTTTCATAGTTTACGTCATAAACTAATCCTGTTTAGACAAACATTAAGGACCAGAAAGTAATGAACAACTGTTGGCAGGCGGTTCTGCAATATCACAAAGTGATTAGAGATAGAAAAGCAAATTATTGGATGCCAATTCAACGGTCTAAAGTTTAGGCAGTCTCCACGAGACCGGGATTTCTCGAGTTCGACCCTTCAATACGAGATCAGAGATGTGCACTGCTGAGAAGTTGCTTACTAGGACGAAACAATTGTTCAAAGCTATCTGGTTTTTGATGGTTGCCTAATTACAGTAAGTTCATTATCTAAATTTCAAAACACAGAAACAAATATACAAGATGGGTACACTAATAGCTTTGAATTGCAAGCTGTTATTTCCCTACTCAAGTAATTGCATTCGGTGAATTGTTATTACATTATCAATAATTCGATTTAGAATTTTTATATCGCTGAAAATCTGCTGTAAGGTAATTTACGAATGCTTATTATTAATAACCTAGTTTACTGTGATTTATTAGAGAACTACATACACAGATGATTGGTTTTTTGGAGGTGGGGAGGAAGAGAATATTTATAGAGTACGTGAAATCTACCATTACCTGTACAAAGTACTTTGCAGAACAATAAAGAGGGAATACATGCTACTATCTTGCAGATCGTGATCGAACACTTAGGGTTGACAACCAATGATTCTTTCGTTTAACCTCTGTAAGATTACTGTCAAACAACATACATTTAACTCGTGTTCATAACTAGAGGCTTTATGGATTAGTGTTTTAGGGTTTGAACAGCTTTAATAAAGATTTGCAATTGCTATAGCTTACATTATGAGTTAGAGTAAGCCATCGTAACTGTTGAGGCATATGGACTAGATGTTTTAATATTTCCGCAGTTTATGCAGATTCAAAATTTACTATATATCATTCACCATGATTTATTAAAGACGCTCCGCGTTCTATTCAGAATCTTCAATACGAACGTCAAGACAGTTCTACTGTACAGAGCTGAAACTCAGAAACCTACTCCAACCATCATCAAAAAAGTACAAGTAGTTATCGAAAATTGTCTACACATAGTATTGAATGTCCGTTGGTCGAATACCATCAGTAACAGCCTACTGTGGGATAGAACAAACCAGCTTCCAGCTAGAAAGGAAATTAGGAAAAGACGCTGGATGTGGACAGAACATACATTGCAGAAATCATCGAACTGCATCACGACGCAAGCCCTAACCCGGGGTTCTGAATGCATAGGAAAAAGTGGAAAACCGAATAACATATTGCGTCGGGAATCGGAGACAGACATTAAAGGAATGAATAGCAATTGGAAACAACTGGAAAGAGCTTGATGGAAGAACTATGCTCCTAAACGAGGGATAACGGGAGTAAGTCAAGTTATCAAATTCTATCACTTGCAATATATTGACAAAGATTAATTGAGGTACCAATAAACAACAGGGAGCGCTAAGTAGTTATTTCGTTCAAGTTTAGGAAATTTCGATAGTATGCAGCCATGACTCGGTTAAGAATAAAACCAAGGAACGTTAGGTCTCACAATGAGCTATCAAGCTTTAGATCAATGAGCTAGAGGTTAATGGTTTGCATTTGCAATTTTAATCTATTTGGGACTGGAACATGGTTGTGTTCCAACCTGACTTGACCGTGGAAGGCATGTTCGAAGAGTCACATCATAAGACGAAAAAGCTGTTACATGTTTCCTGATTTCTAACTGTATCTCAACTGTTATTAATCTGAGATAACAGATATCTAAAACAATTCTTACAAAGTTAAAGATTAGTTTTAAAAAAATATCTACGGAAAAGTTTCACTCACTTATTACTACACCTTGACTTAATACTACCCAAATTATAACCAATAGAATTAGTTTGGTCATGTCTAGTCGTTAAGTGTTGGTCAGCATCAACAACAGATGACGGACTAATAAGATTGAATAATTGGCAGAGTACATTATGAATTAATAGTGGACATATTGGATGATTCACGGGACATAAATGTATTAAATATGCACCTTGTATAAGGCTGAATTGACTGAATATCCATGCAATAGTTGTATCAGTTAATGCTGAAATTTGATTAGAGAATAACTCATCTTTATGTGGATTGTTATCATTATTATTTTTATGAAACTCCAGATTGGATGAGATTAATTGGACAAGACCACTTTCAAACTATAATTAAAAAACAGTCGGTTTAAACAAAGTTTAGGGAAAAAACTAGTATTTTATGTAATTTACATAAGTCATAAACATAACTTTTCATTTACTGAGTGTACAGATTGAGTTTATAGAAATAGGGAGTACAGTTATCAAAGTTAATATCAACAAATTAGTATCAATTTTAGAGCTTCATTATATTTATTCTTAGAAAGACAGGATAAATTATTTTACTATTGGGGACTAGTAAAGCAGTGTTTCAACGGTTAAGGCTTCCAATTTTTGACCGCCAAGTAGTAGGTTCGAATCTCGCTCCATTCATTACGATTTAAGCAACGGCATAGTATCCGAAGCCTTTACAGTTAGTATGTGGTCCAAAGCTAAGTACAGGAATCTGAACCCAGTAAACGAGATAATAGTGATAATACTTATGAAAATTTGAATAATAATTATGATTTTAAGAGAATAACTGTAGTAATCAGAACAGATTAGGAGCTTTAATTAAATGGATACAATTTTAGGAATCAGTAACATTTCTTTAGATCACCTCCGAACTAATAGATAATAAGTATTCATAATTTAAATCATGAACCAAAACTGGAAACCTGGAGGTACCGGACGTCCATTTAGTCCTAGTATAAGACACCTCAGAGACACGCATCAACAAACCAGCATCTGGGAATCGAACACAGGCAGTTCAGTTTTGCTTGCGGATGTTTGACTTTTTTATATCCGAACGAAGAATAAATGAATAGTAGCTACCAGGAATTATTTATGAACTACTATTACGAAATATGTATGTTGTATAATTATTAAGTAATCAGGATATATGCATTTGAATTCCTTTCTTCATAAGCTTTCGTTTGACCTAATTATTATTAGTACACGAATTACCATTATTTACAGTTTCCCTTACTCACAACCACCTTTGGCTTAATCTTGTATAACCGTTGTTTTTCGTTTTATAATGTGATGTGGTCTTATCTGCTTGTTTGTTTGAAAAATGATATTTATACAATGGATATTGATTATTGTGATCTGGAATGAACGGGCTGTGATAGGAAAGAAGCTACTCTATTGATATAGAGTGGACTCAAGGATACTAGTGCTGGTTGGCATGTCACTGGTTAGTTCGAGAACATGGTCATAGAAATCGATATTCTGATGGGTGGTTTATCACGTGATACTTGACAATGCCATAAGTGATAACAAGCTTCTGAACCGCCGAGTTGGCATCCATTGGTGTACATGTCTAACTTCAACCGATGAACGATATCGCGCGATCATGTTCATTGCCTGTGTGGCATCACTATTTCAAACGTGTCACTCTTGAGCCCCACTAGAACTGCGAGGGTTGTATCCTGAAGCCAGTCACTAGAAACCAAATGGTTATTATTCGTATTTATTTATTTATTTAAACACAGAGATATCCCGATCGAAGCTGCTACCTTGACGCGGTGGTCGGGCTTGCCTATCGTGATGACCCAACCGAGCTATATTGGCTGGAACATATGTTCCTGTAGGTTCTACCATGCCAGGCAGGTCGATTGGAGAACGGTAAGACTAAAAGCAGCAACTCAAGGTCTGAGGGCGAAGTCGTACTGCTGACTGTAGAGGTGTGACAGCAGTAAGGTGTTTCCCTCGGACAACCAGCATGACAGCGATGCTGCCTTCCCACAAGGAGGGGTGGGGTTAGAAAAGGTCGACCCTAAAAATGTCACACCTCACCTTACCTCACGGATTTCCGTCTCCGGCGGTAAGGCCCTTTGAAGAACGGAGCTAACACGTCAAAAACCTTCCACAAAAAGGCCGTGCGCGACCGGCCTCAAGCAGTTGTCCCTTGGGCTCTGCGGTCACGCTCCCAGGTCGTCAAGACCAACACTAATCCAATTTCCTTTTCAGGTTCCTCAAGAAATACCCTTCCACGGTGTGGGCAGCCGGGAAGTGACATCAGCCCTCATACCCGTAACAGCACAAGAGACCAAGGTGGTCACATTCAAATCCTTCCTACACCTCCTAATACCTCTCTTATCTCCATGACTAACCCTCCTCACGTCTCTTTATCACCTCGCACCGCTAGGGCAAACGATTCGAGTACGTGGAACGCCATTCCTGGTCTCCTGAAACCACGCTCTAAACTACACGTAGGAGCTTTTAACGTACGAACACTTTGCCAAATAGGACAGCAGGCTTCCTTAGCTAAAACTTTAGAATCTCGCGCCATCGATGTGTGCTGCGTCTCCGAAACGCGCATACAGGATCCGAGTAGCGTCATTCATTTGACCTCACCATGCCAAAATAAAGAACCGACTCGATTTACGCTTCGTGTATCTGGAAGCCCTGATTCTGCTTCCCGTGGCCTCGCCGGCGTAGGTATAGCATTGAGTCCTAGGGCAGAACTAGCTCTCTTAGAGTGGATCCCAGTAGACAGTCGTTTGTGCGCTGTCCGACTGAACGGAACAGTAAGAATCCGGAAAGATAGGGACACTCGTCGTTGCCTCTTCGTCGTCTCTGCCTATTCTCCCACTGACTGCAGCTCAGATGATGTAAAAGATGAGTTTTACAGAAAGCTTTCGGACCTTCTCCGAAAAGCTAGGCGCTCGGATGTAGTAATAGTGGCCGGTGACTTTAATGCTCAAGTAGGTAAACTAAGCGATAGGGAAAGACACCTAGGTGGATCTTATGGTGTCGTGGCTCAAAGAACAGATAATGGCGACCGTCTGTTGCAGCTATGCTCAGATAACCGCCTGTTCCTTGCAAATACTAACTTTAAGCATAAGGAAAAACATCTTTTAACATGGCGACCCCCTAATTCGTCCCAACGTTGGACCCAAATAGATCACATCGCTATCAGCCACCGATGGAGGGGCTCGATAGAAGACTGTCGCTCATTCTGGAGCACATGCCTAGATTCAGATCATGCTCTAGTGCGAGCGCGTATTTGCTTGCGTCTTACTGGACGTAGGAAAGACGCTGCAAGGAAACCTCTTAGGGCCTACTTAATGATAGTCAAGCTAAGAGTATATTTCAGGAACAACTAGGAAAACAGTTAGGCAGCCATGTATGTGATGCCCACCCCGATGCAGCATGGAATGATATCCGAAAAGCTGTGGAAACAGCAGTGATATCTGCTAGTAAGGTAAACCAGAAGGTTAGGGAGCAACACTGGATCTCAGCAGCATCTATCGCACTGATAGATGCTCGGAAACTCATTCCACCTGGCTCTGAACATAATGAAGAGCGGAGTCAGCTTAAGCGCAAGCTGACAAGAAGTCTACGCAATGATCGCGAACAGTGGTGGGTAGCGAAAGCAAGAGAGATGGAAAAGGCAGCGGCAATAGGTAATAGCAGACAATTGTTCAGACTCGTTAAGGAAACCGGAATTAGGAACCCGACCGTTAGCGAAACAATCTCAGAGAAAGATGGACATATTATTCATTCTCAATCCAGGAGATTGGATCGATGGGCAGAACACTTTAGGGATCAGTTCAACTGGCCTTCAGCCACACTTCGGTTTCCCACGATCTCCAGTCAACCTGAATGGCAAGTTAATGTAGGTCCTCCGTCCCTTTACGAAGTTGAAAAAGCCATAGGAAATCTGAAACGAGGGAGAGCAGCAGGCCCTGACAGGTTTACTCCTGAGATTTTTAAGGATGGTGGTCCAGTATTAGCAATGAGATTAACTGAGGTCTTAGGTAGAATTTGGGAACTGGACGTAATCCCATCTGACTGGTCTCAATCACTGATTGTGCCAGTCTATAAGAAAGGACAAAAGTCCTCTTGTGACAATCACAGAGGAATCAGTTTGACTAATATAGTGTCTAAAATATTAGCTTCAATAATACTTCGACGCCTAACTAAAGCTCGTGAAGAGCAGATTAGAGAAAACCAGGCCGGTTTTCGACCTGGACGTGGTTGTATAGATCAGATATTCACACTACGTCAGGTTCTAGAACACAGACACACGTTCACAACCGGTAGAGTGAGAGCTTATGGCGAACTGTCATCAGAATTGATCACCTCAAGTGGTGTTCGTCAGGGCTGTCCACTCTCTCCATTCTTGTTCAACTTTGTCATTGACGTACTTTTAGAGATAACACTCTCCTCGTCTAGATTTCCAGGGGTTGAACTTCTACCGGGAGGTTCACTTGTTGACTTAGAATATGCTGATGACATAGTTTTATTTGGTGAAGACGCTGACAAAATGCAGAGTCTTCTGACTACTCTAAGCAACTATGCAAGCATGTTCGGGATGCGATTCTCCCCCTCGAAATGTAAAATGTTGCTTCAGGATTGGGTTACATCGACACCCGAACTAGTGATAGGGAGTGAAGTAGTTGAGTGTGTCGACCGCTTCACTTATCTTGGAAGTCTCATCAGCCCTTGTGATCTGGTGTGTGACGAGATCTCAGCACGGATACAGAAGGCTCGACTAACTTTTACCAACTTGCGTCATTTATGGCGTAGGCGAGATATCCGTCTATCAACCAAAGGACGTGTTTACTGCGCAGCAGTTCGTTCCGTCCTACTTTATGGCAGTGAAACATGGCCGGTAAGAGTAGAGGATATCCGTAGGCTACTAGTATTTGATCATAGGTGTCTTCGAAATATTGCTCGTATATCCTGGGACCATCGAGTAAGTAACACGGTTGTTAGGATACGGGTACTAGATAAGGATGGCAAATCGATTGATGACGTAGTGGAGCTTCATCAGTTGAGATGGCTGGGACACCTGTTACGTATGCCCAACTATCGACTGCCTCGACGTGCGATGTTCAGTGGTATAGGAGTAGGTTGGAAGAAAGCAAGGGGCGGCCAGACCAAAACATGGCACAAGTTCATGAAGTCACTGACAAGTGGACTGAGTCATGTTGGTAGGTGTAGACTACCTGGTTGGGGACCGCGAGATGATAGCAACCGATGGTTAGAGACCCTGAATGACATGGCTCAAAATCGTTTGCAATGGCGCAGGTGCATACACTCTTTGTGTTCTCCCAAATTTTGATCTCCTTATTCCTCCTTGTCTCTTTTTTTTCTCTTCCCAAATTTATTTCACGGTATTATACTCTTTAAATAACATCTCTAAACACTAATTTTCCCGATTACTGCTTATACTTTTATTACCTCTACCACTACGGGATTTGAATCGACCACTGCATCTCTGTGCTAATGTGGTGTGGCAACTCGAACTGACCTATGTACGTACGAAGTTCTAGGTTATTACTGACTGACTGACTGACTGACATAGATATTGGTACAAGGAGGCACCAAATACATATGCACCACACAAATCTCATTTGATATGTGTGAGGGCTGTGATACTGCCCGGGTGGCCAAACCGAAACAGGTGGTTTTCTTAGGAAACCACACTCGGAGCCTTTGACCTGAAGGTCTGATCCACAAGGCAATGGAGCATCATGAGGAGATGTAGTCCCATGGCAGCCGGTGACCAACGATTGGTTCATACGCCATTTGTTCCCTCAGGGTCATGGAGCCAGCCCATGTACACCATTGGTTCGGAATCACGGTTTTCCAACTCCCCTAGGTGGACTCTCCGTGTCCACCAACCCGGTTAAAGCGCCGGACATTCGCTTTTCGTCCCCTCAATTTCGTAAACGACAATAATGCCGTAAGAATGCAGTGAGTAGAACGTCCCTGGCAGAGGCTATATACGCGTGGCGATGTGGGAGCATTTCGAGAGGGAGAGCGGACTCTCCCCATTCTCGGAGTTACCAGGGCATTTGGGGGCTATTATTCGTATAGAAACTATGAATGTCCTTTTCTAATAAATAACACTGAAAGGGATGAAAAAACATGACTTCTTTGAGTGATGAAGCTACGATAATTTAAATGGTGGTACTACATTGAATCAAAGGCTTCGGAAACTCGGAGAAGTTCTACGAATATTTTTGAGGCCTTCTAATAAAGCATTATTTTGTGACAATAAGAATAGGCGAAATGAACGAACATATGAACAGCTTATGAAACAGTACAGTGTCATGAAGAGTAACTGTATGGGTCTGTCACGACTCCCTAGATAGCATTCTACAGATCGTGCAACTTAATGACTGATAATGTTATCATACACCTCAGGATAAAAGGTTGTGAGAATTATGGTATGACGTTTCTACGGATAATAAAATGAACTACGCCAACAATACGGTTTAATATTTTCTATGGAAGTATAACCCATTTTAAGATTATAGCATATTATTGGCGAGGTCTCACGCAGGTATATATCGAAGTTGAAGGTAAATCTATTTGATGAATACCAATAGTCATAAAGCTATCGGATGAAAATACTCCATCGCACGGAAACTGATTTGTTTGGCCATAATTAAAAACCTGGACGGCCGTGACCAGTGGAGATAATTAGTATTGGGTATGAGGCAGTTACCCACCGAACATAATGGAAAACAATAGCGCAATATTGTGGATTGATTGAAGTTAGACATTAACACTGTTAGATGCCGACTCAGTGGTCTAGATTTTAAGTGTTCGCATACAAGACCGAAGGTCCTCATTTCGGTTCTCGCGTGCAGAATCATGGATGAGCACCACTGAGGAGTCCCATACTAGGAGGGCAACGACCGTCCAGTGCTCAGATGTTTTTAGTGGTCTAACTTAAATCAATTTATAGCTTCAATAAAATTCAATAATCTCTATAACCCCCTAATGATACTCCGTCTGTTTTGAACTTTGAATAACACTTTGGTTGATTCAAGGAACTAGTGTATGCTATCCACCTGGTTAAATCAGACCAATTAGAATATAATTTAGACCTGTGAGTGAACAATTTAGGGTTAAATATTTATGTTATATCCCGACGAGAATTATGAATAGTAACTTTTGAAAACTATTTATGGACCAATACGATCCGTTTATCTTTACTGTGTAATTGTTCAGTAGCTAAACTATGCATATTCGTGTTCCTCTTATGAAAAACTTTATTTTGACCCATAGACTATTATTATGCGATTTACCATCCTTGAGTTATGCTCAGTCTATTAATTACAGTTTCCCACATTCACAGTCTTTTTTGGTTAGATCTTGTACAAATGTTATTTTCTATTTTAGGGTACGATATGGTCTGTTTGGTTTTTGTATAAACCCAGTATGTTTGAAATAAATGACTCATATCGCAGAGGCTGAGATTGATGTTCTGGACTCAACAGTCAGGGCTAAGCAGAAATAATGACTCTGGACTCCTCGTACGGGTTTACGCATCATTGGTCCGGCTGATAAGTCACTGTTCTTTAATTGGCGGTATCATTACGTTATATATTAATAGGGCACAAGGCCACAAGTTATAACAATTTATAGTAATTTAAAAAGATCAACACACTAGAAATTTACAACTTACAAGAATTTTTTGTAAAATCTGTTTAACTGGAGTTGATAGACAACTAGTAGTCATTTCTTTTCTAGATGATTCAAAATTATTAGTTAATAGTTGATTACCAGCAGAGATCAATTCATCTTGATAAAGAGAAATAAATGGAGTTATATATTTCCAATAATTTAAATATTGATAATTTGCTTCATTTTCAATAGTATCAGATTTCATTGTCTCATCATTGTGAACTATAGATTGTAACCATGCAAGTAACCAATAAGGTGGAGTTAATTGACAATTATTAGTTGAATGCTTTAAATATGTTTGAATTATCTGAAAATTTATTTTATTAAATATACATTCATATTGTAGAATATTTTTAAATTTATTCTGTTCTGAATAACAATTAACATCAACTGTATTATCTTTTCGATAGGATGATGACGAACTGACTAAATTTGATTTTACTGAAGTTATAATAAATGATGTTTGAGACCATGCCCATGAATAGGCTGTTTCTAAAGATGTAGCAACTATGTTGTGCAATGATTCAGTAGATTTACTCTGTGTATGAAGTTCTTGAATTTCCTTTTTGTATAAAGACAAAAAAGAGATTATAATAAATCAACTCGCAGGTCTTAAAATTAACATTTTTAAAGTTAACATCGAAGTGAGTTATGCAATTTAAAAATAAAAAATTCGAATACTGGTTAATATGGCCAGAAAGTGACGTGAAGATCCCAGGTTAAATGTTGTGTCTGTACAGCTGGAGTTACAAACTTGAGCGAAACAACTTTTCAGTAGTCCATAGAATTCAATGGTTTGCTGATCGATGTCTCTTTTTACAAAAGCCATCTCGAAATTAAACAAATCTTAATAAACTGTCTAACTAAATAATAATCATGCCGTATAAGCAGAGATGGATGGTGGCTAGCAGTGGAATCTAGGATGCGCGTCTCGTCCTATTTGGAACCCGTCAGCTGGATTTATCTGCATCCCGGAGTTGATGTTCACAACGGAACTCGAATCTCATACAGCCCTAAACATTATTGAGAAGAATCAAACAACTAATACAAAAATGAATTAAAACTTCACCCCACTGTATAAATTAGTGGTTATTTGGACTCAGTAGCTAAATGCATAATGCGATGGCGTTTTGAAGTAAACGGTACTGGGTTCCAGTCCCGGAATGAACAACAGCTCTAGGATGCAGATACATCCAGCTGACGGGTTCCAAATAGGACGAGACGCGCATCCTAGATTCCACTGCTAGTCATCATCCATCTCTGCTTGCAATTTAAGGCAATATCCAGGCAATCCGCACAGGATGCATATATACCAATAAGAGACTAATCAATTACAGCCCTAAACATAAAAAACCAAAAAAAGTAATCATGCCTTTATTGGTTCTAGCGAGAACTCGTAATTGGTGGAATTAAACAGCAACAGTTAATCAAAATGTCTAACGTTTATATAATTCGGTTATCTAAAGTAAATAATTTTCTGAGTACATGATTTACAAATCCCTAAATGAATGAACAAAACGAACGTACGTTATTAAAGTCACGTCAGTCAGACTATTAGGCATTGTAAATGTCGGTGGTTTTCAATTACGGTTAGCAATATTTAATTTGACAATATTGTGATGTGTACCTTTTATGCAAACAGACATAATTAGTATGTAGCGGGAATTAAAAGTGTTTACCAGCAAAATAATAAAATAAAGAGAGGAAGAAGTGAACGAAGAGCAATCAATATAACACCAGGATCGGAAGAATGATAAATCATGTAAAGGACGATTGAAGGAAGACATACAAATGATGTGTTTCATGCATGATTTTCATACTTTACCAAAAGACTGTGTGATTTTGCATAAAACCGTAAATTGGTTTTCCCCATCTCAATATACAAACGAAGAAATTGATCTATATATATCAAGCATAGAGCAGTAGCCAAGTAAAGATTTGAGAACTGAATTATAAGTAATACTTACTTAGTGTGTGGTCTAAAGACAGTACTCAGTTACCTTGGAATAAGGTATGAATCTGTGATTCAACAGCAGAAAATCAAATACTTTAAGTAAATAAGTACAAAAGCAAAAATGTAAATCAGTCATGAAGAGCAAGCTTGTGTACTGAACAACGACATCTGTCTACTATTATTAGACTATACAAATCAAAAGGGAATACAGTCGGATTAGAACTTGCAACCCAACTATTAAACATCTATTTAACTAAAATTAACTAATATAATAATACTACTAACAAAATATGATATAAACATATATGAATAAGTGAAGTAATTACTTTAAATTTAAACTGGAAATTCTCATAAACTGATGTATTAATCATTCTCGATTTTAATTTGTAATTATCTACACCAGAAGGATTCAATTGTTCATTCGGTAAGAAACATTTCAATCTATCCCAATATTCCAATTGAATCAATAAATCAAGTAAGAGAATAACTGATAACTGATTAAAACAATCTATTGAATCTAATAACATATTAATAATAATAACAATGATATTATTTAATGAATATGAATAAGGAATAGAATTAGTCAATTCTATAAACATCCCAATTAAGAGATAAGGGAAAAATAATGTTAAATCGATTGGCATAGTTTTTGAGGATGATGATGTTAATGAAAATGACGAAATTGAACTTTGTGGAAATTGATAAAGTCTATGTAGAAACTGTTGTAATTGTTGCTGTCGTCGTTGCTCATCGCTTTCCGATGATAACAATAATGATGCTGTTGCCGATGAACAATCAAATAAATCATGAAATAATTCTTTTAATTCTGGCCATGATAAATTTGTAAATATTGGTTGGTTATTTTCATTAGAGTATAATGATGGAATACATTTACAAATAATAAAAAATGTACGTAATGTCAACTTGAAATGTTTATAAGAGAATATTGATCTTAACAATTTATTCAACATTGGTGATTGTGGTTGCCAAAAATTACAATCTTTTGTAGTTGACGAAGTGAGCATCACGCAATTATCATCCTTGTTAATTGTTGAATATATAGTTTGTAATGATAACATTACAAACGAAATGATTGGATTCAATAATGATGTTGTTGATGATCTTTTCTGATCATATTTATTTTTTGAATCAAGGCATTTAATTTGAACCAGATTTGATCAATGTATTCTTTAAGTTTGGACGAATCTGTACCGATTAAGTAGTTCTGATCATATTTTGAACCGGGAATAATTAAGCGTAGTAATAATTCTGCAGCCCAATCGATTATATCTTTTATAGTGGATAAACTCTGATCAGGATTTGATAAGAATGATGATGAAACGGGGATATTTTCTACACTATGAGTACGGCGTGATAACTCTGATGCAACATTTGTTAGTCTATTCAAACCGCTTGATTTAATTCGCAATCGTTGTTGACTAATGTGCAAAGACGAAAGAAATTGATCAGTCAATGTGGCGGTTAATACATTCACAGAAGATTTCGCAGATTTATACACATTCGACACCTGAATTTGTAACAAAAAACAAGAAAGAAAGGCTAATAATAACTAAGTAATTCGGAGCTTTTATCTACACACGTACATTTTGAAAATACTCTAGAATTAAGATTACGGTTTACAGTGATTCTAAGTATAAATTCATTTATAAGGAGCAACTTTTTAGACTTGATCTAGGTCACTTTGGTAGGATAGACCAACTATCAAGCCAAATAAAGTGAAAGCTGTTAACAAGGCAAACTTCATGTAACCTCTACAAAAATTATTAGACAACAGTCACTTTGTATTAAATCCAAATATGATAGTAAGAAAAAACAATCAAAAAGTAGTACTGATGTCAGGACAATTCTACTGTATGGGGCGGAAACTTGGAGAATTACGAAAGCCTTCATCCAGAAGATACAAGCGTTTATAAACAGTTGTCTACGCAAAATATTTCGGATCCGATGGCCAGACACTATCAGCAACAACCTGCTGTGGGAGAGAACAAACTAGATCACAGCGGGAGAAGAAATCAGGTAGAAGCGTTGGAGGTGGATAATAGGACACACATTGAGGAAAGCACCAAATGGGTCACAAGGCAAGCCCTCACATGGAATCCTCAAGGCCAAAAGAGAAGAGGAAGATCAAAGAACACATTACGTCGAGAAACGGATACAGACATGAGAAAAATGAACAACAATTGGATAGAACTAGGAAGGAAGGCCCAGGACAGAGTGGGTTGGAAAATGATGGTCGGCGGCCTATGCTCCATTGGGTGTAACAGGCGTAATTAAGTACTGATAGATAGGTAATAGAATATAAACAGTTAATTAATTTATTCATTTCACTAACCAATTTCCGGTTAATTAATTTAGGTAAATGAAAATGTGATAGATCAGACATGTGTTTATCTACAATTTCACATAATCCCAAAGCCATATCCAAATGCAATTTGAGTGGAATAAATGGTTCTTGTGACTGCTATAGGAAACAAGAAATAAGCAAAAAAAGATCAGGTACAATAACATTATCAGAAATAATGGTTTTCTTTTTTAAAAAAATAAAGAAAACTTAATAATTAATAATCTCATGTAGTATGTGATCAAGATAAACCTGGCCAGTGGAGTTCATCCATGTCGGGTGTGAGACAGTTACCCACCGAACATAATGGAAAACAATAGCGCAATATTGTGGATTGATTGAAGTTAGACATTAACACTGTTAGATGCCGACTCAGTGGTCTAGATTTTAAGTGTTCGCATACAAGACCGAAGGTCCTCATTTCGGTTCTCGCGTGCAGAATCATGGATGAGCACTGCTGAGGAGTCCCATACTAGGAGGGCAACGACCGTCCAGTGCTCAGATGTTTTTAGTGGTCTAACTTAAATCGGTTTATAGCTTCAATGAAATTCAATAATCTCCGCAAACCTATGCTGATGATATCCTTCAATTAAGTAATTTGTTTTATAAGTGATGGATAGTTTAAGGATACTCAGGAAATGAATTTATTAAAATGAATTCATAGAACACCGTTGCCGTGGATATTTGCTAAATGGTTGACACTCAAGTATTATCTACATTCCCTACACAGCATAGAAAGTCAGATAACAGACTGTATCTTTCAGGTTTCTGTTCTCAAATTGGCCAAAAAAGCCATTTTAGTGTTGAAGATCATCTTATACATTTCGTTAAATATATAATGATGTCTTACTACTTTACTTTTGACTGGATACTGACCATACACTAAGTGGTAACCAATACCGTGTTTGCTTAGTTCTTAATGGTGATTGAATGCTATCTATCCCTTGGAATCTTGCCAATAGTTAAAGTGACTTGGTATTGTACGTACTAGTTTTGATGTCGAACAGTATAAAATGGTCAGGAGGAAGCCCCGTTTGACCTAGGTTTCTTGCTAGTCGGGACTGATTGGGATGACGAGTCTTCAATCTTGGTGCAACTGATTCTTCATGCGGAATTTGAAATCACGTTAACAAGTGCCATAGTTCAAATGAAATTTAGTAATTAAATAAAAATTCGTATATTTGGCTTTGGGATAAAAAATGTTGTGTAAGAGATTATTTTACCATCATGCTTCTCAAATAAGCGTAGGTTAGCACCTATAACTCAAGGATTGACAATCGAGTGCTTTAAACACCAAATCAACACCTTCGCAGTTAAGTATAATGAGCAAATAGAAATGTAAGGTGCCTTTAAATAATGAATTATGTGTTAATGTTAAGGGTTTAAATCAACTGTGAGCTAATCAGTCTATATGGTGCAGCAGAATAAAGACAAGATAAAAATCATTACTAAGGAAAACTGGTGAAGATTGTTGAACTTCACAGCTGACGTCAGGAATTAATTTTAGTTATTTAAGGATTAAATCGATGAAACTCCTCCATAGTAATAATAATCATGTGAGTACCGGTGACTGATTTTGAGAGGAGATTCCTAAAGTTCTAGTGACAAGCCGTGATTAATTGAGTTCAACCTTGTACGGTGAGAGGCAATTACTCACTGAAGGAAATAACAGATAGTCTCACAATATCGCGAATCCATTGAAGTTAGATATGCAAGTCATTATGTGCAGGCTCAGTGATCTAAAGGTTAGGCGCTCGTTACGAGGCCTGACGGTCCTCGATGAGATCCCCGATAAAGTTGTGTGTGAACACTGCTGAAATTATTACATTAGAATGATTCAGCTGTTTAGTATTTCCTGGTTTTCAATGGTTATCTAACTAAGATCAGTCCGTGATGAAAACTATGAAGTTGGTTTAATTCAGTTCATATAGTTGTTTTCCCCCTTCACATATAGTAATGAACTCAGTAGAGCGGGATACCGTATCCACAGTAACTGGAAATTCAAAATTAGCATCGACTTTGCTGTAGTTTATCTTTTGGACAATAACAACAAGAAAAAATTCAGCAGTGAGATACTTACAATTAAAAATATAACCTGCAAGAAGGTGATTTTACATCGTTTTTCAGGAGAACTACAAACTATCCGGGCTCTTTACAACTTAAGTAGCACAGCACATTTCTATCAACTAACCACAAAAATGCCTAGAACCCCGGTGGACCAGTATGGTATTTCATAAACCGAAGGAAACTTACAAGATCCTTGAATGCATCCCAGCTGAAACGTGATAAAAACAAACGACATAATTTGTGTAGAAAACAATTCGCTTCATAACGACTAAGTGAATTGATTAGAAATTCTACTTCTTTGTTATTTGGTTGCATAATATGAAATGGTGCTTCAATGACTAATTGAAGTAAAATCTGAAAAATGGTGAAAAGCATGGGTAAAAGCGATATGATAAAAAAGACCCAATATTTCAATTAATGAACAAATAAACTGTTTGGGGGAGCTAACTAAACCAATGTTACAGTTAATCTAACAAGACAATAATACCTGATTCTTTGAGACAAAATAAATGAAGTTAAATAAAAACTATCACGCAAGACGGTTGGTAATAGAACCGTTTATAAAATAAAGATATTATTATTGGGAATCAGTTCTCCTTAAAGGAGAAGAGTAATGACTGGAAAACTAGTGTTACAAGACTATACAAATGATACAATAAGCAAATCATCATCATATATCCATATACTGTAGCTTTAGCAATGCTAAAGTGTTAAAAGAAAGTTAGAGGCGGCCAAACCAAAACGTGGCATCAGTGCTTGAAGTCACTAACTTCTGGTATGAGCCATGTCGGTAGATGCAGACTACTTGGTTGGAGTCTGCGTAACTATCGTAACCAATGGTTGGGGACTCTGGGTGACATGGCTCAGAATCGATCACAATGGCGTCGGCGTATACACTCTCTGTCTTCCCTTAAACTAAGAGATTAAAATCGCTTCATATCTTTCTTTCTACGAACTAATTCTTTCTTTCTGTACTATCCTTACATAAAAACTTTCTTTTATATATTACACCATTGAGGTAACGGCTTCTATCAATCCGGTGTTCGTCTTGCTGTGTTAATGAGGTGTGACGACTTGAACCGATGCATGTATATGCCTGGTTCTACGTTGTAACTGACTGACTGATACTGTAGATGGTTTAAATCAATGAAGGTTCATAGGAAGGTATGCTAACTTTTTATCGTTAGGAAAATACCGTCTCCTATGTTTACACTACTTAATCTACAGGCTTTATTACACATGCAATGTACTTCAAAGATGTTTATGATTAAATACCTGCAAACAACTTATGTCTTTCATTTTCAGCGATCATAATTTACAGGTGGAGGATAGTACAGAGTACATAACAAAGCACTATATAAACATTCTGACAGCTATTCAGATGCCTTGCTAGTATCTTACACTACTTGCAATGGAAGTAGTAGGATATGTGAAATAGTCGAGTAAATCTGTCTTCATAAAATAATTATAAAAGTATCATCTAATATTTGCATATAGAAAAATAAAATAAACTGTTTGTAGATTTCTTCTAAGAGTATTCGAATAACCAAGCATCTCGCAAGTGTTCTCACATAAGCTGTTCAAAAATATTTCTGTCTGAGAAGTTAGAAGTGTGAGTTAGGTGAATAGTTACATTTTGGATAGAATCAAACATAAACAGCGTCAGTAGGTATACTTCAACTGATAAGATGCAAAACTGACCATAACAATATTGTGGTTATTCATCAATTAAATCTTGGATATGTTAATCTAAAAATTGATTATTTGTCTGCTCATATTAATTTACTTTATTCCAAAATTATTCTCGTTCAGGTCGTATTTTTCCTTTGTTCCTCGGTGCCATTTCTTAACTATGATGCTTCGTATTCTACTGTCGATTTATCGAGGTGACCTCAGGCAGTATAACAGGTTTAAAGGCTATTACATCCTAAATTGGGAACCCACCACCTCTGTGTTGATAAAGACTAAGAAAAAAGTCAAGAAACAACTGCCCGTATTCACAATGTTTACAACAGTTAGTACATCAACTATTCTCAATAATTATTTGTATCCATTTTTCGAAAACAAAAACATTTTCAAGAAGACAAGTAGTTTTACTATAAAATTTAATGGATAATGATACACATTATTTCATTCTGTTATTAAAATACAAGAAAAAAACTTACATCTTCCACCCGCACGTACTGATCACTAAAGCATAAATTCAATTGACTTATTCTATCATGTAGTTTTAATGTTAATAATGGATTCGTTGTTAAATCTAATGCACTTTCAATAATAAGACTATAAAGTAAATGTAAGCATATTTGTGGATGTTTATTCGACATTTCAATTAATTGCTTACATCCATATTTTGGTGATATAGGCAATAATGAGAGAACAGTAATGGAAGAATCCGAAGTATCAGATGATGCAGAATGTTTAATGTTAATCTTATTGTCTTTTCGATTAATCAAATCATTCGGTCTATGATAGACAGATAACTAAAATAAATAAAATTTCACAATATTATGCTTTAAACTGAAAAAAAAACTCACATACTGAAAAGTATTATTACTTTCTTTTAAAACTAATTTGATAATAACTCACTAAGTACAGGTTTCTAAAGTCAACTTCACGTTATGCGGTGTGTGTGCGGGAGTGGAGAGGAGGCTCAATCGCACGTTCGCCTTAGGATCATCAAGTTACTGGTTCAAAATACACTACACTTAATTCATTTTAGGCGAAGTATGGTATTAAAAATGTTAACGACCATAGTTTGACTGGAAACCAATTAGATTAATCTAAACGAGTTGAATTTGTGATGGATATTGATACAATCCAGATGCTTAAAATAAAGCAGACAAAGTTAGGTGGAAACCTGCTACACACTTTTTTATGCAATTTATTTATTTACTTGAACACATAGATATTGGTACAAGGGGGTAACAAATACATATGCGCCACACAAGTCACTTGACTTGTGCGTGGGCTGTGGTACTCTCCGGGTGCCCAGATCGAAGCAGGTGGTCTTCTTAAGAAGCCATACCCGGAGCCTTCAACCTAAAGGTCTAATCCACGAGGCAGTGGAGCAACGTCAGGAGATGCAGTCCCATAGTCGCCGGTGACCAACGATTGGTTCATACGCTATTTGTTCTGACAGGACCCTGGAGCCCATGTGCACCACTGGTTTGGAGTCAGGGTTTTTCAACTCCCCTAGGTGGATCCTCCATATTCATGCAAACGACCCAACCAAAAAATTCACATTTTGACGCCATTAGCAAACATCACTGGTACATCGAATGTGGCAGTAAGAGCCGTACTGCAGCAGTTAGTAAATGGCACATGGGAACCACTTTCATTTTTCTCAAAGAGATTGATTCCTACTCAGACGGGGCATAGTACGTTCGGAAGAGAATTGCTAGTTATTTACTTGACAGTAAAGCATTTTCGACATACGGTAGAAGGTACAAAACAGATCATAAACCTCTTATGAAAGCATTAAGTAACAAACAAGATAACTATTAAATAAGAACTTTCGTCTAAATTTGAACGAATAGTTTCACAATATTTGGGCGCCGAGTTAATTTGAGACATTAAAAAGAAGAATATATTTGTAAAATCTCAGCGAATGAATTTTAAGTAAATCCAACGTTTCGCCTGGCAATCTGGTCCAAGCTTTTTCAAGGAAAATATAATCAAACAACAAAATTAACGAATATAAATAGGTACATGGTTCTACGGTTTACTGTACACTGAATAAGTCATCCAATCGACGTGAAGGATTTCTTTATAGATAGGTATTTGTATTAATGTGTAAGAGACATGTTTATATGAAAAATAATAAAGGTCAAACAAATAAAATAAAAGTTCATTTGAAAATAATGAAGGGGAAGAAATTGTCATGTTATCCTAGGCCATAGAATGACTTAAGGATTATAAGGTATGTGTTATGGAACCAAAACGTGTTAAGATAACAGAATGTGTTTATACGCAAGTGATATGAGAAAAAAATTTTTCATTCAACTTAATATTGACTACGGTCTGTATATATTAAGAAAACAAATCATTTTTATGTATGAAATGAATCAAAATGCTACAGCCTGCATTAAATGAAGATAAGTAAACAAAATAAATAAACGAGGAATGTATATGTAATTGAAGTGTGTTCTTTTAAAAAATGTTCCAGTCAATTGTTTAACATATTCAGATAAGATAACGGATTTGAATCATTGAACGTATTATCTATCAATTAGTTACTATGGCATAAATATATCAAATGGCAAAAAAGGAGATCAGGTTTACTCATTAATTATTAGTTGCCATGGTGCAGCTAGTTGTATTCCATCTCTCCTATTAATATTGTTTAAATTAGCCCATATATGTAAGGCTTCAGCTGTTAGGCGTTCTTTGTAAGAATTAAATCCTTTTTGAATGATTCTCGTATCACTTGCGTATAAACACATTCTGTTATCTTAACACGTTTTGGTTCCATAACACATACAAAACAATTTGTCATAACCTTGAATTTACCTTATAATCCTTAAGTCATTCTATGGCCTAGGATAACATGACAATTTCTTCCCCTTCATTATTTTCAAATGAACTTTTATTTTATTTGTTTGACCTTTATTATTTTTCATATAAACATGTCTCTTACACATTAATACAAATACCTATCTATAAAGAAATCCTTCACGTCGATTGGATGACTTATTCAGTGTACAGTAAACCGTAGAACCATGTACCTATTTATATTCGTTAATTTTGTTGTTTGATTATATTTTCCTTGAAAAAGCTTGGACCAGATTGCCAGGCGAAACGTTGGATTTACTTAAAATTCATTCGCTGAGATTTTACAAATATATTCTTCTTTTTAAGATAACTATTGTCTGAGAGAAATTCGACAGAATTTATTCTCCAATTTACATCTAGTATACTATGTATTAAAGGTAATTATAACGAAATAGCAGGTGTGCTATCTAGAACAACAATAAACACGCTCATTTCAGTTGAAATTTATATCACAATCTAGCGGCGTTGCAAAAGGCGGATGTTGAACTAAACAGGATAAGATTCAATAACAATACTTTGTTGGTATTCGAAGAAATTCAGTTCGGTATTGTAAAAATAATGTGACATGTCAACAGGCCGACCGCAACCGTTCATTCAGAAACCATTACAACAAGAGGTATTCAAAATTACGCACAATATATCGCATCCTGAAATAACAACCAAGGTCAAACTAGTCGGCGAATGCATCGTATGACGAAACATGAATAGGGATGTGCGTAATTGGACGAAGGCATGCATGAAATGTCAAAGTCCACAGTCGTACTAGATCTACAGTGTGTTCTTCCCCTCACCTCGACACTAGGTTTAAACATAAACACATCGATATCGTAAGACCACTTCCAATTTCGGATAGCTACAACTATACTTTCCCATGCATCGATGGGATGTAGCGGTGCCGATAAAGGACACCTCAGCCGAGTCTATATCCAAAGCCCTATTTGGGAGTGCCAGTGATTATTACAACTGCTAGAAGAGCTCAATCTGAAAGTCGCTTATTCCTGTAGCTTCTCAGAATCAAACGTATCCGCACGATATCCTATAATTTGATGGCGAATGGTATGGTTGAATCCCTGCATAGGCAGTTAAAAGTGCCTTATAAGACTTTCCTTATAAACAATGACTGGACCAATAAGCTTCGTCTTGTCATGTTGGGTTTAAAAACAACAAATAAACAGGATATTGGATGTTGTCCAGCAGAGTTGGTATATGGAACTACTCTTCGTTTACCCGGAGCATTTTCCGCTTCAGGTAAATGTTTCGACTGATGTAGCCAACTATGTACAACGCCTAAAGAAGCATATGAACGATTTAAAAATAAAGACTCCTAGACCACAACGACGACAAGTATTCGTATCGCAGCAATTGCATAATAGCACTCATATGTTTATCAGAAGAGATAATATACAACCCTCTTTGCAGCCGACTTATGATGGTCTGTTTAAAGTGATGGATACGACAGGTAAAACAATTATCGTAGAATAAAAGACCGTCGCATATTATATATATAAAATGAATGAACGACTTGAAAATTATCAAATATTTTGCTTACCCCAAATATAATACGCATAATACACTTGATTAGTGAAACTTCATCTTCAGGTAATTCATATCTATACGATGTATTCACTGGTTCCGTTGTAGGCATATTATTATATATCATTCTTGGACGACATTCCAGAGAGGCTAATTTACCCAATACATTAATCACTACTGAAAGACCAAGCTCGTTAAATCCCATTAATAATAAAACACGATGTAATTTATTCAATATCAAATTAGGTAAAACATTTTCCAAATCGTCAGTATTATCCATGATATATTCTTTCATCAAAGTATGAACCGAATCTTCATTAATTTTATTATGAGTATTACTTTTGTCATTATTTTGTAAAATTGACTTTAAAAGAATATAAAATAATTCCTTTTTGGTTTTAACCATGGTCAAGCCCAATGGTAGTGTGCACGCTAAATTACGCCAACATGTAAGTTGACCGGCTTTTTGATAAGCGTCAGGCAGACCACTACCAGACAATAGAAGACAATTCACTGCACGAATACACAATGAATCATATTGTGATAAGATTAATGCAAATTGTTGAGAATTTTGTACATGGTGATATTGTTGTTGATATACAATAGTTTGTATACGAAATCCAATTGATATAAGTAATAACCTTTAAAATTCAAGATAAAAATAATAAAAGAATTATTATTAATAGTAGGATGTGTATGTGAGAATTGATTCATAGTTAGGTTTGAAGGATAATTTTCAGGAAACAACTTAACAAGCCTCTTAAAAAAGCCAGTGTTGAACCAAACAACAAAGTATAAGGTTAATATTGATATTGGAAAGAAGTTTTTTAAGGCTAAAAACATTGATGAAATAAGTAGATTAATTGAGATAAACATTACGTCTAATATAAATTGATCCAATTCTTGAAGAAAAAACACTGCCCTAAATAAGAATACTGACAAAAGCTCTGTAGAACGTGGTTGATAAGATCGATATATGATAAGCTTGAACTACCAATAGCTATTATCTCTACATTATAACTGTGGAGTATAATAAAAAGATAATTGTCCCTTAGCAATCAAGTTACTGCTTATGAAAATAGTTATGACAATAGTTCAGCAATAACTAACCTGATAAGACGTGCTAGTCGTTTAGCCAACGAGCGCCATGAACCTAAATGCGTTTGTGGACCTGGTGGTAGAACGTAGTCTGAATATATTTTTTCACATGCTTCAACTAGGCTAAGCACACGATCAGCAAATGCAATTGAAGTCATAAATCCAGATTCATTAACTGAAAAATGCTGAATATTTTCACATTTTGGTATGTAATCGTAAGCTAAGAGTTGTAAAACACGTTCAATTCTTAATTGACCAAGCAAACAGTTTAAATCCTTCGGATTTAAATATGTACATGATTCTAGATTAGAATTATAATCGGACAAAAGAATACAAATATCATATTGTGTACTGATGGGATTTTTATTCTTCTTGTTAACTTCAATCCCCTCGGGTTCTTCTATATCGCTTTCACCAGCTGAATCAACCGTTGTCCAAATTGTATCATTTTGACTGATTGATGAATCCGTCTGTTGCTTACATGATCCGATGTTTACAGGCGTAACAAAACGTGCGCGTTCTCTAGATGTTAAAAGAGATAAAGAAGCAAAAGTACAGATGTTCAAATATATTGAATGAGATCTGGCGAAAAAAATTGAATATTTAGGAGTTCTATAAGTATTACACTACTTTATTATGATTGAAATAGAGATACCATGAAACACAACAGTAACTCTATAAGTAACTTTGATTGCATTTCCTCAGATTTGAGCCATGAAGTTCGTGTGAGCTAGTTTTACTAATTTTCTGTCTAAAATAAAGTAGGTGGACGTCGGTTCAACTTCAAGAACCAATAGCCGAGTGTTTAGTCACTAGATCATTGTTGGAGTAAAATTGAACTAACTGAATTTATTATTTACTTGAACACATAAACATTGGTACAAATGGGGTACCAAATACACATGCACAATAACAATTAGGCCAGGAGTAGTCATCATTGATTTGTGTGGGGGCTGTGATACTGTCCGGGTGCCCAGATCGAAGTAGATGGTCTTCTTAAGAAGCCATACCCGGAGCCTTCAACCTAAAGGTCTAATCCACAAGGTAGTGAAGCAACGTCAGGAGATGCAGTCCCATAGTCGGCGGTGAACAACGACTGGTTCATACGCTATTTGTTCTGACAGGACCCTGGAGCCCATGCGCACTATTGGTTTGGGGTGAGGGTTTTGCAACTTCCCTAGGGGAACCCTACGTGTTCACTAACCCGGTTAAAGCACCGGACATTTGCTCTTCATCCTCTCAACTTTATAGACAACACCTCCACTATGAGAAGGCAGTGAGTAGGACTTCCCCGGAAGTGGCTGTATACACGTGGCCATGTGAGAGCATTTCGAGAGGGGAAGCAGACCCTCCCCATCCTCAGCCGCACCAAGGCATTTGGGGCAACGCGACGCTTTATTTATGTCACGTATAAATTGACTAATTCTCGAAATAAGTACACCAAGCAAAACCTAAATGGTAATTCATGATTAAATAGATATTTTGCTAAGATTCTATCACAAAGTTGAGGACTAGAGTGCAAACAATGTGTTGGGACAGAAAAAAACCGATATTGTTCATAGATCAATGCTCAACACTGATATCGGGATAGTTTGACCGGTGGATTTAAACAGAATGGTGTAGGCTTATCGTTTATCTAACAAGATGTAAAGATTTTGGTTTCAATTTCAGTCAGAAGTGAGTAGTAGTGTTGTTCAGTAGTCACAAACTAATGTCGGATTTTCAATACTATTTTGTTTTGCTATGGTCGTATAACCAATAACAATTTCGAATATTGATTATCTTAAGTAAATGGGACAATTACAACACCGCCTACTAAAACTTAAGTCGTGCAATATTACCTTGACAACGGCACAGTTAACAGTTTCTAGTCGTATGTAAACATAATACAAGAGGATATACCAATTCATAGTCGGGAAGAACGAGAAGTTTAGAGAATAAATCCTTTCAATGAGTGAACATGCTTAGCGTGAGGCCAGTAAACTAATGAAGCAAAAATCCAGGGTATTTCCAAAATATTCTCAGTGCTCTAAGCGCTCATCAATAAGATACGATCTGATAAACCGACGTTTCCGATTTTCCAAACTATTTCAAGTGTCAGCAAATAATGTACCATATAGAGGTCGTACCACATGTCCAAGTCGCCGAAGCCAGTGCTTCTAGATCGTGCCACCTAGTACGTTACTATTATTATTATTATTACTATTGTAAGCAAACACACGATGCCGAAACTTGATATGGTATATGATAATATTCAAGTTGTGTAGGTCACTGAGTGTCTCAACTTACCGGACAGGACGTAAACAAATTGCAAATAATGTCAGTATAAGTTCAACTTCTGGTTGATTTAAAAATTCCAAAAGATTTTTTGTTCTTTCCCAAGCAATAATTGGATCTGGAGGTTGTAGTAAACATGCGAATAACTTGATTAACTGTGATGGTAAACGTAATAATTGCATTAAAATAAAAATGTGATCTTCCGGTCTACAAGCACGAACAGTTACACCAGCCTATGAAAAAATTATGTGAAAAATAACACATTTTATCGAAACAAATTAAGCTATAATCAATTATTTAGAGGTGCTGGGTTTCTGTCGATTTGATATATAGTGTTAATTATACTGTATCTATAATGAGTTAAGTTTTTCATGGGTAATTTTCACAAAAATTGAAATCAGTTGAAGAATTAAAGTGTAATTCAGAAAATTGTGTTCACTAGTAATTGACTTCAAAATGAATTGATCGAGACTATATAGTCGATAGTTACAATCTGTGAAGTAAAACAATCTGATGGTTCTTTAGTGTTTTTTAGGTTTGATGAGTTTTTTTTTAATTGCATAAATCCTCTACAAAATTACTTCAGCAAGTCATTTTTCATCAGCCGTTTCCTGATTTGTTTTGGACTAAAGACAGTAACTTATAGCTTCACTTACGAAACCCATATACTACAATTCACCTTTTTCTCAAAAAGATATTTTGCAAAGAAAATTGGTGAGGCTATAGTTTATGGACGAACCAATCAGGTATTAAATAACAGGTCTCGGATTTTGGCGTGAAACTCAATCATCTATTTGACTAAATAGGGTTTTGGCATTATAGCTGATGTCAGTTCGTGATGAAAACCCCAAATCTAATTCCTGACCTTAATCATCAACTGTAAATCATAATTCTTATTCCTCACGCAGGTCTATAACCCTCATTTGGTCCTAGGTATTAGGTGAACACTCTCAAGGTCAGTTTAGCGTCGCTTAAATGTCGTCCATAAATTATAGTCTCACCAGAAAATTTATTTGGTAAGAACGAAAGAAGATTAGTTTAAGCAAGTAACACACGCGTATGAACATATCTACAAGAACAATATCATAAGGCCCCAAATATAAATTCAAACCAAAAGTTAGTTACATAAACTTGTACTTGGTAAATAAATAACATTATAAGGTTTGGTAAAACAGTATTCAAATCTTAGTAACTGAAAGTAAGCTATCACGAAATAATTTTTGACTTAGAAAGAACTTTTTAAAACCAAAACCTGTTAAACAAGAAATAATTTTAAATGAAGCCAATCAGACATTATTAGTTAGTTAACTTACAGTTAAAATTAACCAATTTGATAAATGTTTGAGAAATGTCGGATCATGAGTACGACCAGCATATTGATTTGACCAAAATTGACGCAAACAAGCAAAGAGAATAGAGCAGGTTGATCGCATTTCATTTAGTTGAACTAGATGTGCAGAGTCAACTTTTGAACCGATCACTGAAATGTTCAAAGCATAATTGAGTTTTATTTTATTATCCATTTATTTTATTTATCCATTTTTACTAAAGTTTACAATGAAATATGCACTCTATCTTATCGCAGATGAATAAAAAGCGAAGAAGTGACCTTAAATGTATGGCACTGCGGTAGATCAGTAAAAAATCTAGAAACTGAGAAATAATGATGGTGAGTAGTTGTTAACTAAGTACATTAATAAATGTTTCGAAGTCGACATTACACGACGTCGAGTGAACACAATCTAATCGATTTTACAAGTAACTAGCTGCTATTGTGAAACATGGATATATAGCCAAAATCTCGAGGCAAAGTATTAAGAATTACCGAGCACTGAACTTTAATTACACTGTATTTTGTGACTTTCAGTGTACACAAGTGAACCTAGACTGATTTCATATCTCGGCTAAATCACAAATTTAACGAAACTAACCAAAACAAACCAAAGAATCAAAAATCACTGTCTGAATGGTGTTGAAGTTTGAATAGCGTGAGTTTAACTTTGTTTACCATCGTGTATAGAAAGTGGTATGGAGTTGTGAACTAAAAGAAAACGCATCTATTGTACTTTCTTGCTTTCCATCATCTTTCAATACACCCTATCTATACTTCGTTGGAACACATAATTTCAAGGAAATTCAAGATTATGAACACTTTTTCTAGTAATAAATAGACAAATCATGATGATGGATTGGAAATCTATTAAAAAAGCATCAAAAATCCAAGTTTATACACACTAGCATAACTGTACTATAAAATTAAAAATGACAATTTCTCAAATTCAGCATAGTAATTGCAGACTAAATCTTAATGTCCAATGTACATATCTTATGCAGTGAATGTTTATAATGAATAAAAGAGATTACTTAATACAATTTTGGGTGGTCTAACAAAAGCAATATTTTAGAATGGATTTACATAAAAATAGTTAATTTTTCGGGCTTGCCTATCGTGATGACCCAACCGAGCTATATTGGCTGGAACATATGTTCCTGTAGGTTCTACCATGCCAGGCAGGTCGATTGGAGAACGGTAAGACTAAAAGCAGCAACTCAAGGTCTGAGGGCGAAGTCGTACTGCTGACTGTAGAGAGGTGTGACAGCAGTAAGGTGTTTCCCTCGGACAACCAGCATGACAGCGATGCTGCCTTCCCACAAGGAGGGGTGGGGTTAGAAAAGGTCGACCCTAAAAATGTCACACCTCACCTTACCTCACGGATTTCCGTCTCCGGCGGTAAGGCCCTTTGAAGAACGGAGCTAACACGTCAAAAACCTTCCACAAAAAGGCCGTGCGCGACCGGCCTCAAGCAGTTGTCCCTTGGGCTCTGCGGTCACGCTCCCAGGTCGTCAAGACCAACACTAATCCAATTTCCTTTTCAGGTTCCTCAAGAAATACCCTTCCACGGTGTGGGCAGCCGGGAAGTGACATCAGCCCTCATACCCGTAACAGCACAAGAGACCAAGGTGGTCACATTCAAATCCTTCCTACACCTCCTAATACCTCTCTTATCTCCATGACTAACCCTCCTCACGTCTCTTTATCACCTCGCACCGCTAGGGCAAACGATTCGAGTACGTGGAACGCCATTCCTGGTCTCCTGAAACCACGCTCTAAACTACACGTAGGAGCTTTTAACGTACGAACACTTTGCCAAATAGGACAGCAGGCTTCCTTAGCTAAAACTTTAGAATCTCGCGCCATCGATGTGTGCTGCGTCTCCGAAACGCGCATACAGGATCCGAGTAGCGTCATTCATTTGACCTCACCATGCCAAAATAAAGAACCGACTCGATTTACGCTTCGTGTATCTGGAAGCCCTGATTCTGCTTCCCGTGGCCTCGCCGGCGTAGGTATAGCATTGAGTCCTAGGGCAGAACTAGCTCTCTTAGAGTGGATCCCAGTAGACAGTCGTTTGTGCGCTGTCCGACTGAACGGAACAGTAAGAATCCGGAAAGATAGGGACACTCGTCGTTGCCTCTTCGTCGTCTCTGCCTATTCTCCCACTGACTGCAGCTCAGATGATGTAAAAGATGAGTTTTACAGAAAGCTTTCGGACCTTCTCCGAAAAGCTAGGCGCTCGGATGTAGTAATAGTGGCCGGTGACTTTAATGCTCAAGTAGGTAAACTAAGCGATAGGGAAAGACACCTAGGTGGATCTTATGGTGTCGTGGCTCAAAGAACAGATAATGGCGACCGTCTGTTGCAGCTATGCTCAGATAACCGCCTGTTCCTTGCAAATACTAACTTTAAGCATAAGGAAAAACATCTTTTAACATGGCGACCCCCGAATTCGTCCCAACGTTGGACCCAAATAGATCACATCGCTATCAGCCACCGATGGAGGGGCTCGATAGAAGACTGTCGCTCATTCTGGAGCACATGCCTAGATTCAGATCATGCTCTAGTGCGAGCGCGTATTTGCTTGCGTCTTACTGGACGTAGGAAAGACGCTGCAAGGAAACCTCTTAGGGCCTACTTAATGATAGTCAAGCTAAGAGTATATTTCAGGAACAACTAGGAAAACAGTTAGGCAGCCATGTATGTGATGCCCACCCCGATGCAGCATGGAATGATATCCGAAAAGCTGTGGAAACAGCAGTGATATCTGCTAGTAAGGTAAACCAGAAGGTTAGGGAGCAACACTGGATCTCAGCAGCATCTATCGCACTGATAGATGCTCGGAAACTCATTCCACCTGGCTCTGAACATAATGAAGAGCGGAGTCAGCTTAAGCGCAAGCTGACAAGAAGTCTACGCAATGATCGCGAACAGTGGTGGGTAGCGAAAGCAAGAGAGATGGAAAAGGCAGCGGCAATAGGTAATAGCAGACAATTGTTCAGACTCGTTAAGGAAACCGGAATTAGGAACCCGACCGTTAGCGAAACAATCTCAGAAAAAGATGGACATATTATTCATTCTCAATCCAGGAGATTGGATCGATGGGCAGAACACTTTAGGGATCAGTTCAACTGGCCTTCAGCCACACTTCGGTTTCCCACGATCTCCAGTCAACCTGAATGGCAAGTTAATGTAGGTCCTCCGTCCCTTTACGAAGTTGAAAAAGCCATAGGAAATCTGAAACGAGGGAGAGCAGCAGGCCCTGACAGGTTTACTCCTGAGATTTTTAAGGATGGTGGTCCAGTATTAGCAATGAGATTAACTGAGGTCTTAGGTAGAATTTGGGAACTGGACGTAATCCCATCTGACTGGTCTCAATCACTGATTGTGCCAGTCTATAAGAAAGGACAAAAGTCCTCTTGTGACAATCACAGAGGAATCAGTTTGACTAATATAGTGTCTAAAATATTAGCTTCAATAATACTTCGACGCCTAATCAAAGCTCGTGAAGAGCAGATTAGAGAAAACCAGGCTGGTTTTCGACCTGGACGTGGTTGTATAGACCACATATTCACACTACTTCAGGTTCTAGAACACAGACACACGTTCACAACCGGTAGAGTGAGAGCTTATGGCGAACTGTCATCAGAATTGATCACCTCAAGTGGTGTTCGTCAGGGCTGTCCACTCTCTCCATTCTTGTTCAACTTTGTCATTGACGTACTTTTAGAGATAACACTCTCCTCGTCTAGATTTCCAGGGGTTGAACTTCTACCGGGAGGTTCACTTGTTGACTTAGAATATGCTGATGACATAGTTTTATTTGGTGAAGACGCTGACAAAATGCAGAGTCTTCTGACTACTCTAAGCAACTATGCAAGCATGTTCGGGATGCGATTCTCCCCCTCGAAATGTAAAATGTTGCTTCAGGATTGGGTTACATCGACACCCGAACTAGTGATAGGGAGTGAAGTAGTTGAGTGTGTCGACCGCTTCACTTATCTTGGAAGTCTCATCAGCCCTTGTGATCTGGTGTGTGACGAGATCTCAGCACGGATACAGAAGGCTCGACTAACTTTTACCAACTTGCGTCATTTATGGCGTAGGCGAGATATCCGTCTATCAACCAAAGGACGTGTTTACTGCGCAGCAGTTCGTTCCGTCCTACTTTATGGCAGTGAAACATGGCCGGTAAGAGTAGAGGATATCCGTAGGCTACTAGTATTTGATCATAGGTGTCTTCGAAATATTGCTCGTATATCCTGGGACCATCGAGTAAGTAACACGGTTGTTAGGATACGGGTACTAGATAAGGATGGCAAATCGATTGATGACGTAGTGGAGCTTCATCAGTTGAGATGGCTGGGACACCTGTTACGTATGCCCAACTATCGACTGCCTCGACGTGCGATGTTCAGTGGTATAGGAGTAGGTTGGAAGAAAGCAAGGGGCGGCCAGACCAAAACATGGCACAAGTTCATGAAGTCACTGACAAGTGGACTGAGTCATGTTGGTAGGTGTAGACTACCTGGTTGGGGACCGCGAGATGATAGCAACCGATGGTTAGAGACCCTGAATGACATGGCTCAAAATCGTTTGCAATGGCGCAGGTGCATACACTCTTTGTGTTCTCCCAAATTTTGATCTCCTTATTCCTCCTTGTCTCTTTTTTTTCTCTTCCCAAATTTATTTCACGGTATTATACTCTTTAAATAACATCTCTAAACACTAATTTTCCCGATTACTGCTTATACTTTTATTACCTCTACCACTACGGGATTTGAATCGACCACTGCATCTCTGTGCTAATGTAGTGTGGCAACTCGAACTGACCTACGTACGTACGAAGTTCTACGTTGTTACTGACTGACTAAGTTAATTTTTCTTGGCCAGGATAATTTCAAAATTATACCTTGAATTAGTTTATAATATGTTTAATCGATCCTTAGTCATTTGATAGTTTTTGCAAAATAGTATAACCAGAAGCGGCAAAGCTAAATAACATAGGAAGTAAACAACCCGTGTCATTGATAAATGTTAGATCTATTCAGCTTGAATTAGTTGTATGTTTTTTTACTACAGTTATCAGTTACCGGTAGGTTAATGCAACTTATTTATCGGGTAAATATATATTTATTGTCTTTTAAACAGCACATTATGAGTGAACTATTAATAATATACAGTTTCTCAAGCCAAAATAGTTGGAATGGGTTTCAAACTTGAGACTTAGTGGTAATAAGTTAGTATTAGTTCGCATCATTTAACAGTATAGGTTACATGGATCTGTTCCGTCAATTTGATAAGAAATTTTGGATTTGGTAAATATTTTATTATTATAGTGCATCATTGAATATTTCAAAACATATGATTTCTGGGATATAACATGTGTAAAACAATATCAGTCTTACTTAAACTCACATGTTCCCGGTTGTGATGAAGTCAAATTCTCATAAATTGAACACTGTGTTAAAATGTTTGCTAAATATTCTTCAATACGATTTCTGTGAATAGAATAAAATCAATATCCTGAGTACTATAATAAGCTGAATAAGTTCAAATTTAAAAAATATCAAATTTACTGAACTCAGAATCTTTTTCTATTGTTTATGAGATGTCAGTTGCATTACTATAAATCGATTCATGTTATTAAATTTTACATTAGCATAGTGAAAGAGGAAATTAACAAGATGAGAGATAGGGAGGAATAATATTAACTTCAGTGGAAAGTTAAACATAAGACATAAAGTTCAGAAGTAATGAATATTAACAAAGGATAAAAAGTGGTGTGGAATCACATTAAATTCGCGGTTTGAAAAGTGGATACAGCTAACTGAAAACTATTTCGAATCATATCACAGCAAAATAGGCAAAATGTTACGATATTATCCTTTTTACATTTTCCGGTGATATATAACACATAACAGTGATTAAAAAAATCAACTTACACTTAAGCAAAGTATTAGATTAATTGGAAGATATAGAAGATTAAAGGGTGAAATACTCAACAATATAGTACATTATTAATTGCATGTGCACTTTATGGAAGACCACATGGCAAAGTAATTTATTCGGCTATGAACTTCCTATCATAAGCTAAATATACTATTTTTTAAATTTTCGGTTCACTTTTACACCAGACAATTAACTAGAATACTCCACACTTTTGTAATAATAGTTGTAGGAAATCAGAATAGAGCTCTATAATCGAGTTTGCATTTGTAACCGATTGCCAATAAGGCCTAATTGAAAAAAACACTAATACACAGGGAGCCTAATGTAAGGTTAACTAGTTCCAACCATTCTAAACTAGTTACACTGAAACTATGGTCGAAGGAATTTAGACAGCACTGAGGACTATGAAATATGACGGTGTTTGGAGTAGAAAAATTGACTGGTATCAAATAATTGATTATGTGTCTGTAACACAAAAGTGGTGTACTCTTCTGCAACAAATGAATATTTGATGGGAGAAACATTACTGAAATGCGTTAATTAATCCACCTAAATATGTGGTTAGTCATAAAGTCATAAGAAACGTAAAACCTGGGGCATGAGCATTAGTCTAAGTTGCTACACCACATCAGGATGTTAAGATTGAATTATAAAGATGAATACCAAAACAGAAACAGTGCTAATATTAATGGAAAGTATGCTATCTGTAAGATTTGAATAATCATTATCATATGGGCCAAACTTAGTAAAAACACTTTATCCTCAAGATGGTATTCTATGACGTGTTCTAATTTGTAGTTTATTTGACCTTTGACAACAAATGAATCTTGTTAAATATGATGGCACGAAATCACAGAGTATTGTTTGTTACCATAATGTTGGAGACCCTTTAACTGAATGAATTAGAAGCGAGAAATATACAGTACACTAGTAAAACTAAACCTTTTAGAAATATCAGCCAAAAAAGGATTGGTCTGCTGTTATCTTATTGATCAACACCTGTATCAATATATCCCACAAAGACGCTCACCTGCATTGAACTAGTTTATACGCAACAAGGGGAATTTCCTCGAAAATAATCCAATGCGTCACTTCACTTGTCTCTTTTAATTCACTGAGTACAGACTGAATCAATGTGGCTTTTTCATACTCGTATTTCAGACAAACTGTCCTCTTGTCTTGACATTTACTCTGTAAACAGAGAAACATTCGACTGATTATATACAAAGTCAAAAATATATACAAAATCATTTCACTTGAATTATAATGCCAGAACATCGGCAGGAGTGCTGAACAGACTAGATCCTAAACATCATGCACGAATAGGTGATCGACCGGCTCACACATAAGCTTGAACAGTAATTAAAGTCGTCATGATAAACAACATTAACCCCTTTAGCAGAAAGAAATGGGTCGAAGCTTGACACTTTCATAGTCCTTCATATATGCTCCACACGGAAACTTTCAGCTGGAAAATACATCCACAAATAGTTTTCACATTCTGACAGAAAGTCGAGTATAGTCTTTGCTAGCAAACAGTTTTGAGTTACTTGTTGTCAACTTATTCATAGAGGACACTGATTGAGTTCGTGTGCAATACTTACTGTTAATGGTTAGTGGAAGATACAGCAGGAATGAATGAACTATTTGATTCTTCCAACTATTTCTTTTTACTCAAACTCACAGTATTATATGTGCAGAGCAAAGGTGCCGGTTTGAAATAGGTTGAAAAATGACGTGAGAGGAGGATAAGACTCAGATGCACCTTCTGGAAGGTTGACACCGATGGCTTAGTATAGACATATATTAGAAGACCGAGAAGACTTATTAGTGTAATAATTTCCTATTCGTACAGCAAATGTAGATTCCAGAGGAGATTACCACTCTTTATCAATGGCTTGGTGTCTTGAACCGACAATAAGATTTCTATGCAATCTTACAGGCGAGTAAAGGTTACGCAGCTCAGCAGTGAAATTTGACAGTGCTGGTACCAAACAACCAAACACTAGTTTCAAGCAATTGCACATAGACTTCGGAAACCTTTCCAAAGTGTCAGGCAAAACGGTTAGCTTTTTTTGATGATTACACTGAGATATCTAAAAAAATATTGAAGTAAATTAAGTTTAACCGTGTTATTTAAATCATGACAACTCGACAAATTCTATTGAATACTAACATCTACACTGTGGGTGTGTTTCGTCACTTTCCAGGCTGACGCTTCCATTCCAGACGATTCTTTAAGCACCTTGCTTAGACGTTTAAGTGCCTGTAACCATTTTCCCCAATTATCGGCATATTTACAAAGAAGTAGGTAAAATGGATCATCGGGAATATTGAATCCACTTGAGTCCGGGGCTGTCAGGAGTTCAAACTCGGAGTCCTAAAAAGTTAATACAATTCAACGAATACTGTACTTTGAGAAAATTATTTTCTGTTTCATTTAACAGGTCAAGTGAACGATTTATATACAAGTTTCTCAAATGCTCCGAGCTAAGTGGAGGGGGGAAACTATCAAACACCGAATCTCCTTCGACAGATGAACTCATGGGCAAGTCTGGTGCAGATGCTTCGACTTTGTTTTGTTGAATATCTTCAACAAGCGATTCAGCTTCATGATCAGCTGACTGATTTTCTTCTACGTCCGTTGCAAAATGTTCATCCAGGGAAGGATATAAACGGTTTGAGCCCTTAGGAGCCAGAAACTCGCCGGAAGAGAAAACTGATGTAACTGCGTTATCCTCATTTCTTGATAAAATATTGGGTCCAGAAACTAATGGCTGAGAACTGGTTAAGACCTCATCTTCAACTGGAAGAGGATCGTCAGGTACAATAACTGATTCTAACCGAGAAATAATTTCATCAGTCTAAAAGTAAAATATAAAATTACATCAAACCTTTAACTTGGGCTTTCTAACTCTGACAGCTTCCATTTAGTCCATCAAGTAGCGCAAACACTAAGCATTCCGCGGTTTAGGTAATTTGCAAACCAATAACCAATATCTGTGTTAAGAGCTGGTATAAACCAGTTGACTTCTTTTTCTTCTCAATTCACTGGTTCGGTACAGTTTCAGGTATTTGGTTGTGTCCAATGAGCGATATTGTGACCACTCAATTGCACTAGTTCTAGTCAGTGTGGTTGTGATCTGTGGATTAGTATATCTTGTAGTTTGAGTTAATGCGTTTGTCCTACAACAGTAGGGATTGTAGATATCAAAAGCTATTACACTATCAGACAGGAGGTTGTTTGAGTGCAATGTGAAATTTATAACGTGACGATTCAAACGTTTAGAGAAACCGTTTGTTTCGAGAATAACAAATAAATTGTTTTATTGAAGATGTGTAAGGAGATGGAATTGAATGAATGATGGTAGAACAAAGATGACAGTGAGAGAGACAGAAATAATGTTGTGGTATGTGGTAGTCATAAGCGTGCTAATTGACGAGGCATGCATCAGACACGACTGGTTCAATGGAAGAATGGTCATCCATATGTGAATGTCAAATCTATTCGCAAAGCAATAATCTGTTGATGTTGTGACCATTTAATCTGAAACAGCATTCCGAATGGAGGCCACTTTCAATAAGAAAAGGAGAAAGCCTGCCTGAGATTTTACTGTTTGATGTGCACTTTCCAAGGGTGGTCTTCAAGAGTGTGGTGATGACGTCCTGCTGATCTTCACGCTGTGGCGGTTTGACAGAAGTTAACCTAGGATTATTCCTTGTGAAATTCCTGATGTTGTTACCCTAGAACTCAGGCGCATTTTATTTATCTTGTTACCAAACATCCTGTTCTCTAGATAGTTTTGGAGCCAGGATAAACGTTGGTAATTTTTATGTGGAATACATGAGACACGTTGTCGAAAACGTTTGTGAAATGGAGGGATATTACATCGTGAAGGATGCTGTCCTTATATATGTATTCGCTTTTATTCATTGACAAGTGCTTTCATTACCTTCAACAGTATTAAGAGAAATGCAATAAGTCTGTAACAAACTGGGCTTTTTATCTTCTCTCAAGATTCTCGTGTCAGTTGGTGTGAATCTACCGGGCATCTGAACCATCACATTTTTATGAGCATCAGGACCTGTGGGGGAAGGTTCATTTCTTCAATGATGTATATCTTGCCGTTCACATTAAGGCAACACCAGCATGATTCAACCAACTCAGACAATTCAGTAGTGTGGCTTTGAAGCGACTGTTAATGAATGCCTCCACATATTTTTATCTCGCCTAATTCAGAGCTTGATCCTCCTCCTACCGAGGCACTTAATGATTCTTCTCATCACCTGATACAACTCTACGGCAACATGTTGTTTCCAATTTTTAAGTAGATTTTAGTTTAAAGTGTGCTGACCAAGTCCTATTCGAGTCTGGCACTGTAGGTTCATTACCACTTAGAACATCTCATCTGTGTTCTATGACGCGGGTCACTGATCAAAGTCAGTCGACACAATGCAATGATTCCGTCAGCTTTTTTGCTGTTGACTCACAGATTTAGGTCGGCTTTCACATCATCTGATGTGACTGGAGAGGTTGTTATTCGAGCTGTGTCACGCTTAAATCTCCTGGTAACAGAAGTTCATTGACATTAGACGTGGAGACTTATTTGTAGTGAAGTACCGAACCAACAAAGCGTTTAATATGGTTGGAGAATAGTAAAGGGTTATTGGTTCCTAATCTTTTAAATCCCAATCTCAACATATTATTAAGATTTACATTCAAAATGTATAACTGAGGGGGAGTAAAAAGTGGTGAATGCGCAAGCACAAAATCGAAATGGCACAGCTGAGTCATGTAGACGTGGTCACTTTACGAATCTCATTCCTTTTCACGCTAAATAAATTATTCTATCACCAGTCGTAGCGTGTTCTTCAGCAATGCTTAACATCATATTGCTGACTAGCACGACAGGAATGGTCAGTATAGACAACGATTTGACTCCTACATCGTGATAAATATGCGATGCTGGAATCAGGTCTTTCATTCTTGTGACGGACATGGTGTACCAGCACCAAACTAGACCTTAAATCCTTAAACACACCGGCACCATCTGGTGCACAAATCATATTCAAACACGTAGTGACTTTCCTGTGTGTGACACCGGTTCCGAAACTGATTACCATTGTGTGGTATATATTATTAAGGAAGTACTTGTACTGTGGAAGGAGGAAAAATATACAACTTTAAGGTTGTCGGCAAAAAGAAAATGCCTACTTTTTCATGGTTATCGAGGTATCAACAAGGTAAGCTTTAAAATGTAGTTGATGCGGTATATAACCTTAGATGACTTCACTAGTAGAAAGACGTGATGTGGAAACATATGGTTTTGCTTCACTATTAAGGAAGAGATCAAACCAGCGCAAGAGTAGACTTGTAGCGGCATTGGGCCCTAATACGAGGCAATGTAGGAAATAAACATTCAACATTTAACACAGAGAATGCTTGATTTCGAATTCTAAATACAGTACATTCGTTTGCAGTTATCTACTACTTCCTGATCCGATTACGTTATTTCTGGGATTCTTAGTTCATATTACAATTCGAATACTCCTAATTATCATATCATAATAAAAATATTGTTCTGCCTCTAGCCAAAGTTTGTTCTCTATCATGTATTGGTAACTGTTGAAATGTAGTGAGTTTGTGATGGACCAGACAGATATGAACGCGAAAAGTATAAACAAAGTTACTAAGGATCAATAATAATATTAATATATACAGTTAATTGTTAAAAATACAATAAAAAATTCGGGACGTTACTTAAATTGACCAAACGTTGCGTGTTCTGATTAGGTCCGGTAATGTAAATCCACAATTATAAATGCTTGATGATTCTGAGCAGGTTGGTGAACTCTCTAGTGATATAATCCCACGTAGAATGTGATATATTCCAATTACAGTCTATAAATAATGATAATATTTGATTTAGACTTCACCTAACTCAGTCACAAACGTAAATAGAACGAGGGATGCGTGAGTAGTAATGTATTTACGAACAAACCAAAAGTGTGTCACGCTATGTTAGAATCACAACGGAAAAAGTCTTCAAGGTCACTAACTAAAACAACACGTACAGTCATTTAATGATGAATGTACATACCGTGAAAAATTGACAAAACAAATACAAATAATATTAAAAACTATTTACAAAATAAGCTTGTCAGTCATATCTCCACATAGCTCCCCCCAGAGTGTCCGGAGGTAACACTGGTTACAATAACAATAATAAAAATTTTATACAAAAAAAATAATATTTACAATAATAACCAATAAACAATGTGGAGATGCGTATGACATGTACGTTAATAATATACAGTGTGTTATTGCGTGAAAATAGCGGTGATGTGGCATAGCATGACAAACAAAAGTAATGAGAATACCGTCATTTAAAATCTTGGTTTGCTAACAATGATAATAATGTGCAGAACTGTTACTGAACCCAAAAAAAATGAACTGCTTATTTTTTTTGTGTGTATACAACAAATGAATAATTAAATAGAGTTTACTCGTTTATTATTGTAACAAATTTTTTTTTTAAAAAAATGTGACAAAACGAATAATTGTGGGGGAAAAAATATGGTTAATTATGTACACTGTAAAAAAAGAAAAAAATCATAGATTTTGTTGGGAAAAATCGGGTGAGTATAATGGTATAGTACATCAGTAATTGTTTGTTTAGATTTTTTTTATTCGGCGAAATGTACATAGCGTTTGGGTTTTTTACAGCTCTGCCTGAGCGCGTTAAGCAAGTAGGTTTGATACTCGGTTTTTCTTCCATGTCTGTTCTAGTGGCGGTTGCTGGAAGTGGTTGGTTCAGTGAAGTAGTATGTTCTTTGTCGTGCTGTGCTTCGTAGAAAGCAGGCTTTATTCTATCGATAGCAATAGTCTCTTTCTTTCCACACTTGTTGATTATGAAGTGTTTGTTCGTTCTTTTAATTACTTGATATGGTCCTTCATAAGGTTGTTTCAATGGCTTTTTGACCGCATCAACTCGAACGAAGACAAACTTGCATGTTTCTAGGTTTTTGTCGAGTTGTATACGATTGTTATGTTCACGAGGCGGTATAGCTTTGATTCGTTGCATGGTTTGCAGCAGTTGGCTAGCAAAACGACTTGGGTCCGTTGGTGTTAAAGTGTTTGGGTCTACTAGTTGACCTGGTAATGTAAGGGTTGTACCGTAAACTAGCTCGGCGGCCGTACAACCTATATCTTCCTTAATAGTTGAACGTATCCCCAGAAGTACAAGTGGTAATGCGTCACTCCATTTTGTCGTATCATCTTGTGCTATCAGCGAGCTTTTTAATTGGCGGTGAAATCTTTCGACCAAGCCGTTAGCTGCTGGGTGGTAGGCTGTTGTTTTGATGTGGTTCACGCCCAGAAGTCTTGTGAATTCCTGAAATAAGATAGACTGAAACTGGGGACCACGGTCGGTAGTGACGATAGAAGGTACTCCGTAATTTGCTATCCAACGGTCAAGGAATACGCCGGCTACTGTTTCTGCAGAAGTGTCAGAAATAGGGCATGCTATCGCCCATCTGGTGAATCTGTCCACTGCAGTGAGGATGTGTGTGAATGAATTAGATGGTGGCAATGGACCAACTATGTCTAAATGGATATGTTGAAAACGTTTTTCTGGCAGGGGATACTTGCCAACTGGACTGATCGTGTGCTTCTGAATCTTGCTGCGTTGACATTGTAGGCAGCTTCGCGTCCATCGTTTTATATCTGCATTGATCTTTGGCCACACAAAACGCTCAGTAATCAATTTGGTTGTGGCTCTGATTCCTGGGTGAGAAAGGTCATGCAGTTGACGAAATACTTGTCGACGACAGGCTAGAGGGACGAAAGGGCGATTGTTACCCGTTGAAACATCGCAAATGATAGATGTATTTGAGAAAGGGATGGGTACTGGTTTAAGGTTCAAGTTAG